TGGGAATTCCAAGTCACATTAACTACGGTGCCAGGAGCTTTAATTAAAGTTCACCATCTCATCTCAATGATTAGCTTTGACGATTAGGCATGAATGGAGGTATCAATCTGTTGATCACTATTACTTATATTAGGAGGTTTACTACACACCATCCTTTACTGAGCCAAGAAGACGGCAGTATTTCCAGCTGGTTACACAGCAGAAATCACAAGCTATCAATATCTACATCTACAGTGAGAAGAGGCAAAACTTAACCAAGCTTTTATCAATATGAGAGCCCTCCATTTGGCTCTAAGGAATAAGGATGGCTAGAGAACGTAGGGAAAGCAAAACTAAGTAATGCCAAAACTACAAGTGCTAGAGAGAAAAATGAAAAAAGTAAATTGTTCAACAGCTAGGATACAACAAGAACTATTTCAAGGCAGAGGCATAGATCATCTCTAATGCTGACTGACTGACAGCTGACAAGAATGAGCAGCCCCAGGAGCATTGTCATAGTTAATGCCTCCACTCCCCCAAGCAGAGACGGAGCCCTTGGTCTTATGCATGCTAAGCAAGTGCTCACCACCAGCCACACCCCCAGCTGGGACCCAATTCTCTAATGAGGCTTTTAGGATAACATCATCACTGCAGACAAAAATGTGCAATTTCAGAAACCAATTCTGATTGGTACAGTGACAATTTGAAAAGACCTTTTCATTTTCTCCATTTATTTCTTGAATCAGACTATTTCCGAGTGAAGCACAGCTGAGTTGGAAACTGTTCTGTGCCAGTCTCAGGACCACACACTCTGGGGAAAACGCAAGGTTTTAACTTGACAAATCTACAGCCACTTAAGGAGAAGGAGGATTTTTCTTTCCAGATGAATTGCCTGAAAGGTATAATGCAAGAAGCTTGCATCCACAAGAGCGAACAGAGCATAAAACAACACACTATCCTATGGGGGCCGGAGATGAAGACACTACCGAATGTTTAAAGAGAAACAGAAAATCACCCGGGGGGGGGGGGAGAGACAGACAGGGAGAGAGAGAGAGAGAGAGAGAGAGAGAGAGAGAGAGAGAGAGAGAGAGAGAGAGAGAGAGAGAGAGAGAGATTTCCTAAGGGAGAAACTGGAAGAATTTCCAGGGATAGAATTCCTTCCAATTTAAGCTCTAAGTTTAACATAATTCAAAGAGGAATCTACAAAGGGTTGACAGGTATATGAGGAAGAGAAAGGGTTGACAAAGATATCCTAAACTCCCACTAGTAGGAGAACCACAAAATGGCCTCCTCCTCTTGTGTGCGCATGCTTACGAAACATGAAGAGACAAGACAGCACATGACCTTCACACTACCCCTGAAGGTTGCGTGTTAGCTTACAACACCGAGCCTCATTTAAGTTAAGAGCGTCACAGGACTGAACAGAGAAGCTGAAGGAGAAAACGAACACAAAGACCAGAAAGTAATTTCAGTACAGGAGATGCTGAAGAATGCCTTCCTCCTCAGAGGTGAGGTCATACCATGTAAAACGAGTATTTTCACACAAATAAAAATCAGATCAGCCTTCAGAGAAATTTTTAACTTACGTGTATGTGTGTAAGCCTACCATGTGCATACAGGAGGCCTGCCAAAAGAGAGTGTCTGATCCCTTGGGGCTCGAGTTATAAGGCAGTTGTGAGCCACAGTGGGGGTGCTGGGAACCGAACCCTGATTCTCTGCAAAAACAGTAAGTGCTCTTAATCACTGAGCCGTCTCTCCAGCCTTGAAAAACTCTTCATGGAGCCCACCAGAAATAGAGCCCTCAGAGGTCCCAAAGCTAAGAATGGACTTCTTTGATTGCATTTTCTCGCCAGCTGACATTGGAGCAGAATACAATGCTATATAAAGAGTCTGTCATTTAAAAGGAAAGCTACTTCTAGCTAGTGATGACACCACAAGCCAGGGAAGGTATAAAGATAACTAGGAAGTATCTGGAGGGAAATTAAACCATGATCCCAAACTTGCACTAGTATTTGAAGTCAAACTGGAATAATTCATTCATCTATTGCCAGCTAAGAATGGTCAGGGCCTGCCCCAGGACAAGGCAGCATCTTGTGTGTCCCAGCCTCATCCACACAGCCAAAGGCCACCTACAGCTTCCACTGAATTTGGAGTGAAGAAGGAAAACCAGTGAGGTTCAGCCTTAGTTAGAAAGTGAGAATTACTCTCAGAACTGAAAACAGAGTCTGTAAGACCAGAGTCCCATTCAGAGTGCCCTGAGCTTGGGGAAAGGCAGACTGGACGGGGCAATGCAGGGCACAAGGATGCGGGGCATGGCTGTATCCAGTTTCCATGACAGTTAATCAACCCCCTAGGTTAACCCACCACACACTCTCATCTGTGGCCACCAGGAAAGGCTAAATAAAATGCTACAGCAGCTATTTTTATGTAGCAAAGCGGGGTGATTTTTCTGGCTTCTATATGTTTTATAGTGGCCATGCATTTCATTTTTCTGAAGAAAATAAAAATTACAACTGAGTATTTGTGGTCCATGCCTGCCGTCCCAGCACTCAGGAGGGTGAGACAGTAGGATGACCACAGTTTAAGGCCAGCTTGAACTACAGAGCAAAATCTTGTCTCAAAAGATAAGTATAAAACCAAAAACCTAGTCCAACAAAATATGAAGAAACAAAATCTCCATTTAAGGTAACTGTTCGACTAACATGCAAGTGTTTTCATCGTGTCCGATGCATCCACCAAGTTTCCGGCAAGAAAAGAATCCACAGGAGGGAAGAAAGTAACTTTCTTTGTATTGTTAAATTTAAAGAAATTATTTCAAAAGGTCGGAAATAAGCAGTGAGAACATATGTCATTCACTGTGTGAGATGATTCATGCAAGATCATTCTGAACACACAGAACTTACCCTAATACGTTGAAAATGTCAAAATCTACAATGTGGTAAAAATAATATTTTCCTTGTCAAAGAATTTCTTCAATTGCTGCAAGTTAGTCATCACTCACGAACCTAGTGTCAGAAGCAAGATGACCAAGTGTTTTTGCAAAGCAGAAGAACTCACTGACAAATGAAGGTAGGTATTTATAATACTCACAGCGACACAAAAATAGCAAACACTGAAAGCAACAGGGTACAAAGAAGTTAAATTCCAGAGTCATGGACCACTTCAAAAGCTCAGTGATTAAAGTCGACTGTTCAGTATGAAGTGGTGCTTAGCAAAGCATAAACAGTGCAACCTTGTGAGAACAGGGACACAGTCCCCACCAAACAGTTGTATGAGCACCCTCAACAAGAGAGGCGAGGTGTCACACCTGGTGTCAGGAAAGTGGCACAGTACCGGATGCCAATGCCTACTTTCCATAAAGATGCCAACCAACGCTGCCAAAGGCATCAACAACTCTTTGGGCTAGGCAACTAAAAACCAGCAGCTTCTGAGAACATTCAGTCAAGAAAACCCAGAGAATTTCATAAAAATAACCAGTTCTGTGGTAAAGGTCAGATTCTCTGCTCTCCAGCTCTATGGCAGCCCTGGAAATCAGCCTGCACTGGTGGCAGGGGGAGCAGAATAGGCCTCCTTCTCACAGAACAATAATTTGCTATAACATCTCATGACTCGTTGGAAGATTACATCCAAAGATCTGTGTTAGCCAGGTGTGGTGGCTCATGCCTACAATCCCAGAACTCAAAGAGGCTGAAGTAGGATGATTACTGGTTCAAGGATAGCTTGAACTCACAGTGAGACCCTGTCTCAAAGAAAGACATTTTAATCATGTTTCACAATTGCAAACCAGGTATGGAGATACATGCCTGCAATGTAAGTGTGTAAGAGGACAGGACCACAGGATTTGAGTACAAGACCAGCCTGGGCTACATACTAAGACCTTATCTCAAACAAACAAAACTGTAACCGTTTCTCCTGTTTTAAGAGGAGACGGTAACTAACAGCTACTTCCTTTCCACAGTCTTATCCTTGGTCACTGTGAGCTCACTGGGAACAGCTAGACAAGAACAGTCTACACACTCCACAGTTTTGGAAATTATTATGTTTTTGTTTTATGCATATGCATGTTCTGCCTGCATGTGCCCACAGAATCCAGAAGCAATGGATCCCTTGGAACTGGAGTTACAGTGAGTCATCATGTGGGTGCTGGAACTCCTCCCAGGTCCTCTGGAAGATCACCTAGAATTCTTAACTGCTGAATCATCTCTCCAGCCATTTTGAAAGTCTTCTACCCTGGAATCACTAAATGCTTCATGTCAGTGACTGCTGCGGAGGTGGAAGTATGGAAGAGTCCTATGGTGAAAGCTGAGCTTATCTCCAGATGCTTACTCACTTAGCAGTCTGGCTTATGCTAATTGACAGGGTGCTGTGACATTTGGAAACTGGTCTGACTGGGTGCCCACTGCTTCATAAGTAACATCCCACTAAAACCTCAGGAAGACAGGTGGGGGAATTGGTGCTTGGAACTGGCCACTCACTAGAAAAACCACATCTTTAGAAAGTACTGGTTATCAAAATTGACCTAATAAAAAGATAAGCCACTAAGGTCCATTTCCCCAGAGTAAAAAGGCCAACACTATTCATATATGAGCATCCTCAGATGTCAAACACGCCCAAACAGCAATAAAATACTTTCAAGAGGTGTCATGTTTCAACAATACCACACACAAAATCTGAAATAGAACAATGAGGTAGACGTTAAAATATTTTTCCATGAAAAGATTATTGTTTAAAGATATTATATTTGGGCCACGTAGTGGTGGTGCTTGCCTTTATTCCTAGCACTTGGGAGGCAGAGGCGGATGAATCTCTGTGAGTTCGAAGCAAACCTGGTCTACAAAGTGAGTTCCAGGACGGGCTCCAAAAGCTACACAGAGAAACCAACCCTGTCTTGAAAAACCGAAGGAAAAAAAAAAAAAGATATCGTATCTGGTAAGATCTCCTTTTATCAAATGGGTAAATAGCAACAGTGTTTGTTCACAGCCAACTGATCCCAAGACAGAAGACCACTGAAAGGCATTTACCTCTTCTAGGCTGGGGAGCGAAGAAGAAGATACTGTGCGAGGTGACAGGGGGTGAAAGGGCTCTTGACCAATAGCATGTTGATGGTTCTGTATGTGTAGAAAAGGGTTCTGCGGTGGCCTGGGAGGCAATGGAGGTAGGCCATAGGGAAAACCCGGCCCTATTAAGTGATTCTGTTGCAAGTTAGCAAAATTCCACGCTCCTTCAGGAGCCAGGTATTTCAGGGGAGGTGGGGCAAGGTGTTCAGATGGCAACGAAAAGGGGGAGCCGAAGAGCTGAGGTGGGAGGCGCTGTGGGAATGCTGGGTTGTTGGCTACTTCAATGTCTCTGCTGTTGTCATTAAAGTTAGAAAAGTGGCTGCTGTGGTCTGTGGTGGAAGGGGGGGACGGGACTGCTGGTGGGCTTCTGGTCTGAACTTGTCTGTATTGCAAAAGTCTTGATTGAGGTGGTGGCATTTCAGTCTGTTCTCGGGTGTCACCTTGGTCACGATGAGACAGCTCTCTGAGTAAGTCTTGAAACCTACACAAAAACAAGAAAATGTGAGGGAAAACCTCATAGAGAGACCCCCACTGCACTAAGAAGAGCCGAGTCAACCACATGTGTGATTTCTGCAAACCAAATCACAATACCTAATTAGGGTTTCCATTAATTAATCCAAAACTAAATATTGACATCCAACAGATTCTGAACTAGAGATGCTCAGTAAAGATGTTAATTACCTAACTGGTTTTTACCTTTGCATAAAAGGGTCCATCCTTGCCTCAACATGAAAACTGGAAGTGATAAAAGGCCACCACGGGCCAGGGAGATAGCTCAGTAGGTATAGATGCTGGCCACCAAATTTGACAATCCAAGTTAATCCCTGGCAGACATGATAGAAGAACCAACTCCCCACAGGCTGTCCTCTGACCCCCACATTCATACATACACACATACACCCGTACACACATGTACACACCCGTACACACACATATATACCCATACATGCAGAAATAAAAATAACTAAGAGGCTGGAGAGATGGCTCACCAGTTAAGAACACTTGTGCTCTTATAGAGGACCCTGGTTCAAGTCTCAGCACCCATGTGGTGGCTCATAACCACCTCTACCTCCAGTTCTAAAGGATCCAATGCCCTCTTCTGTTTCTTCAGGCACCAGGTATGCACATGGTACACATACCATACATGCAGGCAAAATACTCACACACATGAAATAAAAAAAATCAATCAAAGAAAATTTGTATACTTGAAAAATAGAAATAAATGCTAGAAGAAGAAGAGGGGGAGGGGGGAGGAGGAGGAGGAGGAGGAGGAAGAAGAAGAAGAAAGAAAGGAACAAACTAACTTTAAGGGCCACAGTGACAGTCGGTGTTTTCCAGTGAGGAGGAAGCAGTTTATAGCAGTCACATGATGCTGACCACAAATACACTCAGAGTCAGGAGTGAATCCTCAGAAAACCTATAGCTCTAGGAAGTTAGACAACTACCCTACTAGATAAAGAAATTAATGATAAACGTACAATTTTTAAATTTTCCTTCTGTCCTCATTCTTTTATTTACTAGTAAACAAACAACAACAAGCACACAGTCCAGTAATGGTTTGTTTCTTTGGATAACAGACAAGGAGCAGATCTGTACAAGAATGACGTCTAAATTCTCCATATTTTAGAGTCAACTGAGAGGACTCTGTGGTAACCACCAGCAAGGCCAACACTGGACTTATCTGAGACTGTGTTCCAACTGAGAGCTAACGGGCTAGGGCGAGGCAGAAAACTCAGCTCGTGCCCAGGCTGGCCCTGGGCTGCCAGAATACCTTGAGAATGGTGTCTCTGCTTCATCCTCAACTCTGCCAGCAAGTTTCCACTCTGCCCTCACTGCTGGCTGGTGGAGGCCAAGGGGAGGCTGGGGAAGATGCGGGAGGTGAGGATGGTGATGGTGTGGATACGGGATGCTGCCCTGGCTGAGATAGGCATGCTGTTCACTCCACTGCTGCAGCCGGGCCTGCTGCTGCCTCAGTGTCTCCAGAGCTACACTTCCATGTACTCGATCTGTAGAAGGAGATGTAGAAAATTGTTTTTGTCCATTTGGGGCTTCAAGTTAATTTTATGCAAAGACCTTTACACCCAGATTTTCTCCACAAAGACAAAGAAATAGCTACAGTTAGGGTGGGTAAAAGTTATTTCCTAAATTTGCCAGAGCCCAGAGCTACAGTACCGATGCTAGTGTAAATAACGTCACCTGGATAGTTACTATATACATATGTACATATAACACTTGAAGTCAAATTTTATTATACTAATTGGTTGGGTTTTCTGGCATTATTTGGAGACATGAATCAATCTTGGCCTAGAGTAAACTGTATAGGACGTGCCGTGTTCAGCAAATAACCTGGGGACTCTTCACATGTGACATCGTGACAGGGAAGCTTACCCAAAGCATCTCCTATAGGCAATCCTGGGGAGCTCTCATCAACAAAGTTGTTCAGAGGAGATGCCAGGATGGGACCAGGCTGTGTGATGGCTCTCAGCGGACTGTGACCGTCAGGAAGCACGGGAGGTGGCTGCTGCTCGGGAACCACAGCCTCTGCAGCAGGAGACTGTGGTCTGTGAGCAGCTGCATTATTGAAAAACGCACTGGTAGACCCTGCCTGAAATGCAGGAGGGAGTTGAGGCAGTGGCTGCGGGGCCTGTGGTGGTGCCTGGCTTTGCTGCTGGACCACCTGATTTGGCTGGGGTGCCACCTGATTTGGCTGGGGTGCCACCTGATTTGGTTGTTCAGGCAAATTATTCTGCTGCTGATTTAACAAGGTGTGCTGCTGGGGAATGGGAAATGGTGGCCTGGGTAGCTGAGGAAGCGGATGAAAATGGCGGCTAGGGATTGCATACTGTGCGTGTGGTGCAGGAAGAGGAAGAGTTACGTGTCGTGGGTTGAGATTATCTTTTCGAGGAAATTTCATATTGGAATAAGCAACGCTGGGACGTGATTCAGGACTTCTGTTCTGTGGATTTGATTCCAAATCAACCTAGAGAAGAAAAAACAAAAACAAGAAACAATTTTAACTACAAAAAACCCTGAGTTCACTCAGCGGCTTTCATCCTTTCCCAAGCACACCCCACTTAAAGGCTGTAATATGCTCTTATCAGCAGCAATGGGAGTGCTGAGGTGCAGAATCAATCACCTTTGACAATCAAATAAGGGCATATTCTTATAAATTAAAAAAGATGACAGAGGAAACACAGCATATTAAATTTGAGTCTGAAGAAAAGCCACTGCCGTTTTATTAAAATGGCCACTCTAATTCCTGCTATACTATTTTCAATTTCACACTTTCTTTCTTAGAAAGAGAACCATTAATTTCCTTCAGATATAAATCAACAAAATGTGCTCTTTCCCTCTGATTTTATTGTTTTTAATATATCCAATCTACTTCTCCAAACAAATCAACATTAATAAAAACTGTGTCTCTGGCAACTTTCAAATGAACTTAGATACCATGTCACCTTTGTAGAACCATTACGGCTGCTGGCTTTTGTCGTTACATAGGTGGACATTCTTTCTCTTAACATTCCGGGGGTGGGGGGGGCTATTAAGTGCACTGTGTCTGATTCTGAAGATTAAAAAGCAACAGTAAAAGTCAGTATACACCCTCAAGAGCTTAGAGCAGGAGCTACATTCGGCCCAGGCACTCTGGCTCCAGTGCCCTGAACCTGTAAATAAGGTCTTCTTGGAACACAGACAGTCAACCATTTACATGTCATTCATGGCTCCTTTCACACTACCATGGCAGAGCTGAACAGCTCTGAACAGCTGAACATACACGCCACGAACATGAAGCCTGAGACTGTCTAGCCCTTTACAGAAAAAGTGAAGGCTCTATATAAACACAAGAGACATTGGAAAGAGGGGTCGTATAAGATACTAGGGCTAAGAAAAGTAAAGAAACCTTCAGAAAAGCAATGGCGTCTGAGCCGAGTATTCCCAAACAAGCTGGGGTGCTCCAGGGAGAGAAGAACGTTCTAATAAACAAAGGGAGAAGTAGCAGAGCAGATGTCGGGTACACATTTTCTGTTCATAGAGCTAGATCTTTGCTTCTTAACATGTTAGTTTCCCCTTCTTGACATCAATCACACAGACCCTGACTGACTCAACCCTGAGCGCAAATATCAAGTTTGATGCCATTAAGTTTTGGAGAACCACCGAAGAAAAAGTTTGAAGTTAAAAAGCGTGGTTGTCTTGAAATGCAAGTTTGACTGTAAGTGTTGATAATGTGAAAAATAAAAACAATATGTAAAGTGACCCTTTTTCTCCTCCAGCTGTTAAGCCCCTCCATAAACTGTCGGGTGTCATCTTGTCAGTGAGAATTGCAGGGTGCTTGCTTAGTCAAAGCCTGTAAAGCTAGACAGGGTGCCGATCCCTCCCCCAGGAAAACAGAACGGGGAGCTGGGTTCCTGATTTAAGCGAGGAATACTGACCAGGCCATTTCAGCCAGTTGCAATGCCAATCATACACCAAGAGCAGTCACACCTCACCACTTGGCCCTTTGGGTCCCTGAGATTGCTGGGTGTATGAAGTGTTTAAAAAACCAAGTGCTCTGGTCTTCCTAAGCAGTTGTTAGGTTACCTGTTGTTCACATCTCAGAACCTAACTGAGGTTCCTCATAAACAAACATTTCTTCATTCAACTCATAATCTTGTGGATGGCAAAGCTACATTAGCCAGAGACACAACTCTCTCCAAAAGACACTGTTGATGTGCACACTCTGACCACACACACAAGGCTATGGTCACACGTCATGGCTGTTTGTGGCTACACTGCTGTTTTAATGATTCCATCACTTTTGACTCTGACAGACAGGAAGCTCATGATCACAATACTCTATGATCTTGAAGTAGGAAGGAGCTGCAGAGAAAGTGAATGCGATGTGTGATTGAGAAGGGTGTAGGGGTTGGGTCCTCAGCTCCGGGAGAGGGAGAGAGAGAGGGAGGGAGAGAGAGAGAGAGAGAGAGAGAGAGAGAGAGAGAGAGAGAGAGAGAGAAGGGTGTGGAGGGGGAATAAATGGCACTTTAGGATCCTTCAGTGGAAGCAGCAGTGGCAGATGTAGTTGGAGGCAGCTAAGTTCTAAGTGCTAGTTCTAGGTGCTATCAAAATTAGAATCAAGATAGCTAAGTGTCGGTCATGTTGTGACTTTTAAATTTCTGTTAGAAAACAAGGCTACCTGCTAGCCATGTTCCAGTTTCTTTACATCCTGATGCTTTGCTTTGGGGCGCAGGAAACATGAAAAAAAAAAAAAGAACTCCAAGCTCTGTTTAATTCAGTGCCTCGGTATTAAGAGGCATTGGACAGACATTCAGAGGAAAGGAGCTGAGGGACAGCGGTAGATGCGGGCTGCTTCAGACCCCTGTTATTAGGTTGACTTTCTCTGCAGCAGACCTCTGACTCAATCAGGAAGTTTCCTGGCTGCCTCGCTCACGCCGCAGTTCCTCCTACAATATGCCTTCCATCTTTGGCCTCTGTCAGTCAGACATGCTGGGTACTTGAGACTGAAGACAGAGAAGAGCTGCTTAGGCACAGGTTGGGGATCCAAACTGAAGTCTTTCTTATGATGTGGGCACTTAAAGACACAACTCAGACTAGGTTCAAGCCATCAGCCATAGACTTCAAAGAGAAGTGGGACCACACAGAACTCTGGGAAATCACAACTTGAGAGCTAGGGTCATGAGGAGAGAGGAGAGGGGAATGTATTACAAGAAACAAACAAACAAACAAACAAAACCCCAGAAGGCGTCTAACAGAGAGTTGTAGGGGAAAAAAAATGGTGTGTTAAGGAAAACAACGAAGTGAGACAACCAAAGAAGCAGGAGCTGTGGTGAGACAGTGCATAGGGCACACAGTCACCGTGAGACCTAGACCGTGTGGGTTAAGACGAGACACCAGGAGGCAGAGGTCAAAGAATGCATCTTTCTTTCTGTACTCTTTTGCTGTGGTTGTGTGGCACTGGGCACTGAACCCAGGGTCTTGTGCGTGCTGGGTAGACACTACCACTGAGCCACATGCCAGGAGAAAGCATCTTTGAAAGTCTGCCAGCCAGGGTTCACATCTGAGGTTAGAACATGAGTAAGTGCATGGCAAGCAGTGTGGGAAGAATCAGTGAGTGGGAGGAGTCGACACAACTGAGAAGGCTGAGAGCCTGGAGCTAGTGAGGTGACCTGGGGAGGACAGGGACAGTCAACTCGAGAGGCCTTCATCTTCGGCCGGTGCTAAGAAAGTAAAGAGGCTCAAGGACACATAAAAAGTGAGTTATGCATTTTTTATGCATAGCTAAAACTATGCATAAACCAGCATCAACTAGCAGGGTACAACCCTGACGGTGGTGTGTCTAGAGCAGTCATTTCTACATTGTGAGGTGCCAGGCTAGAGAAGAGCCACTGAGGAACCAGGACCAAGGAGCTAAGCACTGCCCAAGAAAGGAGAGGGCGGAGTCTCGCTGAAATTGAAACACATAGCTTCCAGCCACACTACTTCCACCAACAACACGGTCTTCTCCAACCTGTTCCAGCACAGACGCAGGAAGAGCAGACAAATGGGGAGACACAAGGTTAAGGATCTCCACAGTGGGTGTGGAGGACAAGGCCAGGCACTGAGGGAGTCACTACCACAGTCCTTTCCAGGCCAAAGTCACTGTCAATGAGACACCTGTAGCTCTGTCTTCATACAACTTTTTACCATGAGGAGTCTATAAATTCGAGTCTATTGCTGAATTAAAGAAAATCTGAGGAAGGGGGCTGGAGAGACAGTTCAACAGGTAAGAGCTCTTGCTACTTTTGCAGATGACCCGGGCTCAATTCCCACCACCCACATGGTGGCTCACATCCGTCTAACTCCAGTTCCAGGAGCTCTGATGGCCTCATCCAACCTCCACGGGCACCCATGTAGTGCACATACATACATGTAGGCAAAACACTTATACACATAAAATGAAATGAATATTTAAATTTTTTAAAAGAAGAAAATCTGAAGAAATATTTACATGCAAAGGAAATAACTTATTGAAAGACAATGGGACAGGAGAAGGGTGGTATGCCCTACTGAAACAATGAGCTTATCATACACGGGAAGTGGGAAATGCTTTGGGCCAATCAGACCTTCCCCACCAGAACCACACACTCAGTTGATGTGAGCAGCATACCTGTTTGGGCTCTGTAGGCTTTTTCTCTGGTGTTCGGATCTTATTAATTTCAGGTCCAGGGTTATTTGTATCAGTTTTACCTAAGAAAATATTTTTAAATCCTTATAATTATCTCCAGTGAATATATTTCCAGTGACTATTCATTCAACACTAGACAAAGCAGAATAGTTTCAACAACACGCACTCATTCTTACCACTCTATACTACTACGTGCATTCTAGTTCTCTGTTTTCAGAGCTGCAGCTTCTCTGCCAAAAAGGAAAAGTTATAAATGAAAAATGACAGGGCAAAAGCTTCACTAAGGAGAAACAACCTGAAAACAGCAAATAAAAAAGAAAACGGTCCACTCTCCAGGAATTTACAGTCTCATTTTTTTAAAAACTAGACATATAAAAGGTCTTGGTACTCCTGCCCGCTCATAAAGGCTCAACACTTTGTTCGTTTGCAAATGCAATTAAGTGAAAATCCAAATGATGGATCCATCCAACTCACTGAAGGAATCTAGGCTGACTGTTAGGGCTTCATCTACAAGCTTCCTGAAAGCCCACATGGAGAGGCTTGTCCTCCAGCCTGTTTGCTACAGGGCAGAGGAAACCTTATGAGGTGGGGACTAGAGGACAGAAGTGGGCTTGTGACTCCAGCCCCTTTCTCTCTGGCTTTCTCCTTCCCTACTCCCATGAAGCAAACAGAACCCCTCCAGCACACATGCCATCATAATGTCCTGTGAGGCCACAGGCCCCACAGCAACAGGACAAAGCAAGGGTGGACCGTATGTATCCATTGAAACTAGAAGCCCAAACACATCTTTCTTTCTTATGAACTGCTGACCTCAGCCATTCTGTCATGGCAACAGGAGTTACAGTGTGCAAACATTTCGAACGTAAGTAGGTGATGGATGACAGAGGAAGCCAGGGTAAGGTTTTTCAATAAAATTAGAGTAGACTAGCCTAACTTCACAAGTGTGAAGAGCTCTAGTCTGAAAGAATTAAGCCTAAGTTGGGTGTTTTCTGAGAAATGCTCTAGCAGCAGCACCAGAACTCTGGAAATGAACTGTCACATCAGAGCTGACTGATCACTGCACATGAAGACATGGGATCTGTAATGGTCAAGGTTAAAAACTAATGGCTGCCCAGAAGATTAGACAGTGCATAAGAAAAACAAGGCAAGCTAAGGAGAAAAGCAACAGAAACTACCAAAACCAAAACACAGAGAAAGACCCTGAAAAGAACCAACAAAGGGCCAGTCATGAGCTTTGGGGGATGTTACGAATCTGAATGCATGAGTAAATGGGGCCACAAGAGCAGAGGGCAGGCGGTCAGACAGAATATCTGCTGATATCAACCTTGAAAATCTCCAAACATCATAACTATAAAAAGACCCAACATACACATACACCCAAAGAGCAAACGGAAACCTTCCCGAAGGCATATTATAATCAAATTGCTAAGACCAGTATAAAAAAAAAAAACCTTTAAAGCAGACAGAGAAAGCACAGTATATTACATAGATATGAAAAATAAGGCTAATGATGCCCCCACACACACACACACACACACTTTCCTCTGTGCTAGGCGTCAAAGAAGCCAGGGTCTTGAGACTGCCAGGTAAGTCTGTAAAACGATACTTTGAAAAAAAAAAAAAACAGTAATATTTTTAAATAAACCTACATAAAAGTAAAATGCGCTGGGTCATGGTGGTGTACACCTTTAATCCTAGTACTCAGGAGGCAGAGGCAGGTGGATCTCTGTGAGTTCTAGGCCAGCCTGGTCTACAGAGCAAGTTCCAAGACAGTCAGAACTACACAGAGAAAGCCTGTCTGAAAAAAAGAAAATTGAAGTACATGCATGGCCACCAAAGCCCAGAGAGGAAGCTCTGAACTTTCGTCAGTCCTTTCACTTGGCACGGTGTGTGGAACATAAGCTGGAAGGTATACTACAGAAGTTAAAGATATGTACTAGCCCCAATGCAACTAAAATACTATTAACTATGTCATAACTAATAAGCCAACAAAAGAGATCAAGTAGAATTATAAGTACACCCTACAAACATCAAGCTCACAGAAACCAAGATTTAAAAAAAAAATTCCATTTCAGTGTAGAGGTGTACACCTTTAAACCCAGCACTCAGGAGGCAAAGGCAGGCAGATTTCTGAGTCTGAGGCTAGCCTGGTCTATGTGGAGTTCCAGGCCAGGCAGGACCAAAAGAAGGAATACTAATTATAAACTAGCACCACACTTAGCTGCTGCTTTTGGGCAGTGCCATGGGTAAAACGTAAACGAAATCTGCCTTTCTCACTGCACTGGAGCCCCAGCCTCAGAAATGTACCTTAATGATACAAACAGGCTAAAAGCAAAGGGTCAAAAACAAATATGAACTACTGTCATTAGTCAAAAGAAAGCCCAAGAGTTCCACAGATGTTAACCAAAGTAGACCTCAGAGTTAAGAACATCACCAGGAACAGTCATTCTGTAACACTAAATGAGTCACCCAAGGACATACTCTTGAATGCTTATCTCCTAATAACAGACCCCTAAAATTTATGAGAACAGAACATAAAGAAAACCTAGACAAGTCTGGCATAGGAAATAAACCTGTCAACCCAGCTCTTGGGGGAAGTAAGGTAGAAACACTAGGAATTCAAGGTCACCCCCGGGCTATATAAGCAGTCCAAAGCCAGCCTAGCTGAGACTTTGTCTCAGAAAAATAATACAAAAGGTAGACAAATACATTGTTTTCAGAGATTAATTCCTCTCTTCAGAAAGTGACAGAAAAGACAGAAAACCAGCAAGGACACAAAAGACTTGAGCAGCCACCCTGACCAGCTCACCCTAAGCATTCCAGTGCTTCCAGGTACCCAAAAAGCATTAATAAAGACAGACCACAAATCTCAATGAATTCAACAGGATTCACGCCATACAAAATACACTCTCTTACCATGATGGAATTAAAAGTAGGAACCAGTAACAGGAAACATTTTAGAAAATCACTAATAACCAGAAATTGAAACTCACCATCCTAAATAACCCATGGATATAATCTTTTTGGTTTTGTTTCTGAAACAGGGTCTTACTACATTGCAGCCAGGTTAGCTTGGAATTCAGAATCCTCTTGCCTGAGTCTTCCCAATGCTGAGATTACAGGCAAGCACCAACCCACCCAGTCCATGAATCTATTTTAACTTTGAGAGAAATTCAAAAGTATTTTAAAGTATACTTAACTCAATAAAAATGCAAAGACAACATATCAGAACTGTGGAATGTACTAATGAGGAAGACATTACACGAAAACAGTCATTTTAATCGAGCTTCTTTCTACCCAAAGGCTTTACATGTAAAGTGCTTTTAAATGTTGGAAGAAATTAAGATCTAAAAAGATAGGGACACATATACTCTGTCCATAGACCAGAGGCTTAATATTGTTAAGCTCCCAATTATTCCAACACTGACCTAACAACTTAATGTAATCCAAATCAAAAGCCCAGCAAACTTTTGGTGTTTTTTGTTTGTTTGTTTTTAAAAAGATAAGCTGATTCTGAACTGTTTATGGAAATGGAAAAAAAGCCTGAACTAGGCAATTTTGGGAAAGAATGAGGTAGGAGCACTTAGACAGCCTGTTTTCCTAGGAGCATGTCCAAAACTACAGTACTCAGGCCGACACAAATAATACTAATGCAAACAGACACCAATGAAAAAAAAGAGTCCAAGGATGGTGGGCTGATTTGAGCATGTGTGTCAAGGTAGCCCAGTGACAGGAGAACAGAACTTTCTATAGATGATCCTGGAGCCAATGACCATAGACATGCCAAACAAACAAAACACCCCACCAATGTATCAGACCTTACCTCACACCACACACAACGTTAACTCAAGGACCCAGGGTGAGGGTTGAAGCCACAAGATGTCTAACGGGATTCCACCTACCGTTTCGATTTTGCTCCTGTTGATCCTTCTCTACATGCTGATTCTGCGGCTGCCCTATGTTGACAGGTGGGTGATGTCCAAGGCCATAGGGGATCGGCGATCCACGTCCATGTGTATGTAATAAGTTCATATTGTAGGCCATCGCTGCTGGGTGTGTAATAATCCGAGGATCAACTGCAAACCTACCCTGGTATCCTGTCCATGGCACCTAAATTATTATAAGAAATAAAGTAATTGAACTGAGTATATTTCTGAACACAAACTGATATAATGTTGATTAGCAAAAAACAATCATACACATAGAGAGACCATAATTTTACCTAACTACCATGTTGATATTATTCAACAGTAACAATGGATGGAATCACTAATACATCCTTAATGGCTCAAACCTGATTCTCAAAATCTACCATGTTAGGAAAATGGACCACTGGGGGTTAGAAGGAAATAGGACTTGAAACTGATACTTAGTCCCTAATACGTCAAAGCAGTTTACACTCCTGAATCATTTTCCCTCCACAAGGACATACACACTGATTACCATGAAAATGATCTTTTCAAATGAAAACTGCATGGTTACATAGTTTAATAGACTGGATCAAAGAACAGAGAGGGAGTGCAGGGCCTCTCAACTCAGAGAGTAGGTATTCTAACCTTTCATGAATAACAACCATTTAATGCTCACTCACAGCAGGCAAAATTCAAACAGGTCATTATGTTAATTAGTGCTTTTGATTGATTCAACTCTACCTTAAAGCCCCTTCACAGAGGCAGAAAGCTTGCCTAGATACACATGATCTCTCCAGGGTACCACAGATGGGATGGTAATGAAAACTGCTGTTGTCACTGTTAGAACTGCTGGATGCAGACTCTCAGAAATCTTACACACTAAAAGCTTCTCTGACCTAGTAAAACGAAATAGAAATCCTAACCGAGAGTCTATTTCAAGCAGACCATGTATCATGTTGCCAGGTGTCCGGGAAGAAATAACTCAGCTAAAGTCCAAAGCCTGTGAGGCACAGGTGTGACAATTACGCTGCTTAGCTGCCATGCTTGTGGCCTACCAAGGCCGACAAGAGCGAGAATGCTCGCAGCTCAGCAGTTTTCTCTTCATGGGTATGGGCAGGAGTGCCAAAGCTCTCTGACAAGATCACCTCTGCCTGAAATTACCTCACTTCAATAAACTGTGTCCTAGGCTAAAACTTCTAAATTTAGAAATATTGATGTTTCTACAATTTGAACAAAAAGTACCAAACATTTCAAAAAAGACATAAAAATGAGTTTATATATAAGATGGAAGCCCTCTAAAAAATCTCTTCTCAGAATTTCAGTAGTGTTCTCATGTGACACTAATGTTTCATAAAGCTTGGGGATTTCCTAGACAAATTCAGACCCAAGAGAACTAAAGGTCTCTGTCTCCTCCAATAACTCTGCTGCTTAGGAACAGTTCATGATTGAGAATAAGATGCAAAAGACAAATAAATGCACCACTTATACAATTCTCCTCAGGAAGGAAAAAAAAATATTTCAGAAGAATTCAAAGGCTTCTGAATTAAAACATACTGCTCACAGACTTCTTCATATTCTATGGTAAACCAACAAGTTACACATAATAATACACATTTCTTTGAACATTTCAAAACTTAGTAGTTAAACGAGTTACTTTAAAAGAATCTCATGGGCACTGGAAAGTTAAAATAAAAGAGTATATGGGTACGGGTGTGGCACAGTAGTGATTGCTGAGCATTCAGAGACCCTTGGTTTGATGCCCAGCACTGAAAAGCAAAGGCTGGCACTACCTGACTCAGGAGAAAGTATTTCAAACGTCCACTTACAGGCAAAGGCACCGACATGACCACATTCCCTCCATAGACAGCAGGTACATAAAGAATACTTGTCCCGGTGTGAGGATCTATTCTTTGAACGGGGCTTGGAGACTTTCCCAAACTTGGGTGAGGTCCAAGAGGGGGTGGAGGTGTAAATGCTCTAATAGGATTGCCAATGAGTACAGAAGGATTGGGCTGAACTGTAAAACAAACCAAAAAAAGGAGACTCAATAGCTGGACACATTGACCTTGACAGAAATGCTCTAATCATCCATAGCAAAAACACATTTCCCAGGAGACCCATGAAACGCCTCCACCAAAGAACAAGTGTGCAGAATAAAGCACATTAGAAAACCGTTCCACAGGGCTCTTGAACGTCAGCTGCAGCTGTGCGCAGGGGACTTTCCAAAGCCTGCAGTGTTAACTTCTGAGAAGCTGGAGGTAAGACTTCAAGACACGGAAGCGTGAGTGCGCACCTTGCAGCAGCAGCAGCCTCAAGACTGGGAGCAGACAGTTCCTCAGAACCAAGTTCTGACTTACGGTTGTGACTCAGTCACACATGGAGTGAAGGTGATGCCTGTATCACAGGGCCTTCAAGATGGTTCTAATAAACTTTATCTTGAAATTTTTATGTCATCACATTTATAGGATAGAAATACTTGGAGAAGACTGATGCTGTGTAAAAGGCTGTGTGCTGGTAGCTACAATCTGACCACATTTCAGAAATTAACATGTCATAAAAGAGTAAAAGAATTCACTAAAACTACGAAGTTCTTATCTTTATATGCCTCAGAGATGGGGGGGGGTGGCAGAGGAGAGACAGACAGAAAGACAGAAAGCTCTTTCCCATAGCAAATTTTGTTTAAAGAAATAAAAGTTCTACTCACCAACACCATCATTCTGGAAATGGTCGCTCTGGGGATGATGAAGGCTTTTCCCCTTTAAGAAAAAAACAAATACAAGATAACCTAAGCATGTTTTTTTTTCCTAAGCATGTTTTAACATTAGCAAACAGAATATCTCCTCAGCATGTGCAAACTAAACATAAATACTCACAATTAATATTTGAAAACTCTCAGGCTGTAATCAGGAACTATTTTGACAATGTCAAGTTGACTTTCTTTAGGTCCACACCCTCTCAGGCAACACTGCTGTATCTTTAGTTTTCTGCTTCAAAACTGATGATACCTAAAATCCCTTTTTGTTTCTATCTTAAAGATTTATTTTTATCAAGGCTGGAGAGGTGACTCAGTGGTTAAGAGCACTGACTGCTCTTCCAGAGGACCTGGGTTCAATTCCCAGCAACCACATGGTGGCTCATAACTGTCTGTAACTCCAGTTCCAGGTTATCTGACACATTCACACCAATTCACATAAAATAAAGTTAAATATACTATTTTTTTAAGATTTATTTTATCTTGCTGTGTGTGCATGTGAACACACACACACTTGCGTAAGAGCTCAGTTGTGGGTGGGTGCATAGGCACAGAGGTCAGAAGAGGATATTCAATCTCTTAGAGCTTAATTTACTGAGTTTGAGAGATGACAGGCTTATTGTGCATGTGTGAGGATGCAAACTCCAGTCCTCATGACTGTGCAGAGTTTCTTCACCTCTGCACCATCGCTCTAGCCCCTGTTTTGTTAAGACAGATTCTCAGGTATCCCAGGCTAGCCTCAAACTGGCTATGTAGCTAAAGATGACCTTGAACTTCTGATTCTTCTGCCTCCACCTCCTAAGTGCTGAGATTACAGGTATGGCCACCATACCTAGTTTTATGGGGTGCTAGAGGTGGCTTTATGAATCCTAGACAAGCACTCTCCCATCTGAGCTATATTTCCAGGCCCTCAAATTCTCTTTTTAATAATTTTTTTTTGGGGGGGGTAGCTTGGGTTTTGTTATGTACCTTGGCTGGCCTAGAATTTGTGATAGAATGGACTGACCACAAACTCACAGTGACCCTCCTGCCTCTATGCCTCCCAAGTGCTGAAACTACAATGAAATGTGCAATCAATACAACGATTTCTATCCCATGGTAACATCCCTAAAATTGCTCTAAAAATGAAATGACAAAACATAAAAGCTGCTTTTCAAAAAGAAAAAATCTCAGTGTTCTACTCATAGGGCGAGAACCATACTAACAAGGTTTGATTTTTTTTTTTCCAGTATGATTCATAGTATCTCAAAGTATTCAATTTTCTCTGAAAAAAAGCAAAAGAGACACTGATGATTTTGAGGGAAAATTTAGTTAATTGCTAGGCAGCAATTTGGCAATATAGATCAGAAGCATCAAAAATGTACCGAGACTTTAATACTGTAATTGCACTTCCAGGAATTTATCCAATTGAAATAATCAGTGATCTGGGCACAGATGTTCATCACAGTATGATCTATATGTGTGATAAATGCTTAAGATGCAAATACCCGTCATTTGGGGCTTTATTAAATAAGCAATGACAGAGTCACATGTGATGCATCAGTCTGTCCTTACACGATCACAAGTCACCAAGGAGACAAAGGTATCAATCCTAAGATCACCAGAAACTGGATTCTGCCAACCACCTGCATCAGTATGGGAGCAGATTTCATCCCAGTCCCAGCCTTGAAAACCCAGAACAGAGAAACAAAAGCAAGCCAAGCCCAAGCAAGGTGATAAATCCATGTTCTTTTTAAGTCCCTACTAATGGAGAGGTTAAGCAGCAGTGGAAACTGAGGCAAAGGTAGCCATAATTGAGGTCCACCCCACTTTTAAAGTGAGTGGCTTGATGGCTGACAGACAGTACCACTCTGGGTGCTCTGTGATATACCAAATACAAAAGCAGACGGCGGTTGCCACACACACACACACACACACACACACACACACACACACACACACGTCTTTCAGTCTAATCCTACACTCCATGGTGATATTTTATTTGTATTAAAATGTTATTTGTATGTTAATAAATGAAGTTGCCCGGGGGTCAGAACTATTAGCAAGCCATAGGAAAGCAGGGCAGTAGTGGCATACGCTTGTAATCCCAGCACTTGGCAGGCAGAGCTGGGTAAGTCTCTGTGTGTTCAGGGATACAGCCATTATTGGATACACATGCCTTTAATCTCCATACCAATCATGGAAAACCTGGAGGCCTATACAGACAGGCCGTGACGAGGCAGTCATGTGGCTGGGTTTACAACCAATGAGAAGGCAGAACAGGAACTCTATATAAAGACTTTAACACAGGGGTAGCTCTGGTTCGGAGAGGTAGGGCCACTGCAGGAGGAAGGGTAAGGTTTTAGCTCTTAGCTCTGACCTCTTGGCTTTCTTCTTTGCATTGGGTCTGTGTTTCTTATTTAATAAGAAGGTTGGTTACATCTACAACTCCATGCAGCTCAAAGGACATAGCTACCCACCATATTTTGATTTAATGGGTAATTGTAAACAGCAGATTCACTTGGTTTGGGCAAAATACAGTTTAGTAGCCTATAACTGAAACTGAATGTAGCAGCCAGCTAGAGCTAACTATGTACAGAAGTTATTCTATAATAATTACTTTCATCTGATAATAAACCTCAGCAGGTATGCTTACCTCTGCTAAGGTGCAATTGTGGGATCTTTTAGAAGCAACTGTAGCTCCTACCTTTGACATCTGTAAATGTAATCTGTATCCTGTGTCATTCATTGATTTCAATGTTTACTTTCTTCATCCTCACTGTTTTCATTCAGTAAATGTTTACTAACTTGGAGGACAGGAGAGGTGGCTCAACGGTTAGGAGCACATACTGTTCTTGCAAAGGACCTGAGTTCAGTTCCCAGCAAAGTCTGGTGGTTCCCAACTGCCTGTAACTCCAGCTCCATGGGATTGGACACTCTCTTCTGGCCTCCACAGGCATTGTACTCACATATACAAATCCGAGCAAACACACACATACACATAAATAAAACTAAAAAACAAAGGCTGGAGCCAGACACGGTTTAACTCCAGCACTCAGGAGGCAGAGGCAGTGGACCAAGAGAGCTGATGCCAGCCTGGACTACATAGCAAGTTCCAGGCATACATAGTGAGGTCCTATCTCAAAAAATAAAATAAAACCTCTTAAAAAATTCTCTCTCTCTCTCTCTCTCTCTCTGTGTGTGTGTGTGTGTGTGTGTGTGTGTGTGTGTGTGTGTGTGTGTGTGTGTGTGTGTATGTGTGTGTGTGTGTGTGTGTGAGAAAGAGGGACAGAGACAGAGACAGAGCAGGTGTCTTGGAGGTTGGTCTTCTTCCCTCCACTGTGAGCTCAGGAGATCCATCTCAGGTCACCGTGTTTGCCCAGCAAAGACTTCCACCTGCTCAGTCATTTGCCAGCATGAATTCTCAACTTTCACATATTCTAAACTCCTGTGGTTCCCTGAAAAAATGTCCCCTGTTCTCTTGAATCCTATACTGCAGTGATATTTTGTTTGTGATCTAACAAATAAAGCTTGCCTGGAGATCAAAATGTGGAGCTACACCACTAGTTAGTCATCGAGGCCTGGCAGTGGTGGTGCACACCTTTAATCCCAGCACTCAGGAGGAAGAGGCAGGCAGAGCTCGTGAGTTCAAGGCCACCCTGAGTGGCCTTGATTAATATTAATCCAGTCTAAAAGAGAAAGAGCCAGGCAGTGGTGGCACATACCTTTGATCCCAGCCCTTGGTATCTCATGTCTTTAATCCCAACACTAGGGAGATAAAGACAGGAAGTGATTTGGCTGGGCAGAGAGAGGAGTATAGGGTGGGAGGAGACAGGAGCTCAGCCCCTTTTGGAGTGAGGATTCCTAGAGGTAAGAAGTCTCTAGTGGCTGCTGCTCTGCTTCTCTCATCCTTCAGCTTTCACCCTGATACATGACTCCGAGTTTTTATTAAGACCAATCAGAACTTGCAATAAACCACACCCTTTGTAAAAGCTTGCTATAGTTTGGAAATGAAATGTTCCCCACAGACTCGGTCCTCAGCAGGTGATGGACCCTGTAAGAGGTGGGGTGGAGTGGGAGGTCTTCAAGTCAGAAGCAAGTACCCTTGGGTGGATTTGTGGGACCTGGTCCTTCCTTTTTTTTCCTCCAGTTTGGCTTCCCAACGATGAAGTGGTTGGTTTTTCTACCATGACAAGCAGTGTCAGACCCAAAGCAAAGGGACCAACTGGGTGTAGACTAAAACCTTTAAAATGTGAAAATACATCTTAGCATATTGTAAGTCAATTATATTAGATATTTGCTATAATAATATAACACAGAGCTTCCTTATTCATTAAAAAAAAAAAACTACTTCTTTTTCAGATAGGATGTCATGTAGCCCAGGCTAGCCAAAACTTGTAACATAGCCAAGAATGGCCTTGAACTCCTGATCCTCTTGCTTCTACGTCCCAAGTACTAGGATATCAGGCATGTACATCACCATACCCAGGTAAAGAGTACTTAGAGCATCATTTTACCCACATAGTCTTCTGGGCACAGAGCCAGAGCAATGACTAACACAAGCAAAAACCACCCCAGTTGAGCTAGCTTGGGTTTCACTGTTACTGTTGTTTTGTTTACGTTTTCCCCAACCTCCCTGCCCCCATGTCCGCAATACCATCCTCAACAAGAACCCCACGGTGTGTATCTGACTCCATCTCCAGCTTCTGCATCCTGCTGTCATCCATCCAACACCTGCCACCAAAGGACTTGCAGCTTACTTGTTTATATATGTTTCTAACACATGGCACAGGGAAGTAATTCATTTGTGCACACTGCCCTCTAATAACACCAAGTCAAAGAAGCAAAACATAGCGCATTTTTATGAAGCTAAGAACGTATGACTGTGCATTAGCAGAGCTGCTCTCAGCTTAGCCCCTCTTCAGCTAAAAGACCTTGGAAATATTAAGCCATCCATCCCTGCTCACATTAGGTATAACAATGCCCAACGCTAACCTACTCTAAGTTCCGAACAGTAAGTTTATGCCATGCCTACTCTACAGGAGCCAGCAGACTGCATGAATCCACACGTGCCATTCTCAGAATCTGCTTCTCAGGATGCTAACTGCAAGAAAGGGTTGTTGTTGTTGTTGTTTTTCATGCACTGGAGCAAACAAGCCAGCTGTCTTTGCTCAAAATAACTGTGGCTCAGAACTGCAAATGGCCTTGACCTCCCCATACACCTCAGCTCTGACCCCTCCAAACAGGATGTTTCCAGACTACAGAACCATTTCATCCTCAAGAATCCAGCAAGTTGTCTCAACTTTGTCAAATACCACTTGAAATGAAAGGGTCATTAAAAGACAAGAACAATTTTCTTTATTCAAACATTATTTTAAAACATCATTTCTGTACATAATAGCTTGTATAGACATGCTTAAATGTGTCCGTGGGACTGGCAAGGCGGCTCAGCAGGTGAAGCAATTTGCTGACGCCCCCGGGTTGTCCTCTGACCTCCTCATCTATGCACGGCACCGGAGTGCGCACATGCACAGGCACACACACAAATACGTAAATTACATTAGTAAAAGGTTTTAGATTTTTTTTTAATAAAATAAAATGTGTAGTAATCCTTTAAGCTGCGATTTTATTCGCATGTTCTCTGCCAGTCTCAAGTCTCCAAGCAAGGAGTGCTGGCAGGTAAAACAAAAAGTCCCCAAAGTTTTCACACTTTCAGAGGATGACCACCACATTAAGCATGGCTCCCCACCACGCTGTGTTCTCATTTATCCACCAAAATCTTGGGGAAGTTAACTCTGGCCCAACAAGCCAGTGTAAAGTAGGGCCTTTACCTTGGGTGGTGACTGCTGCAGTCTGCTGCTGTTTCCTGAATGCTGCAGTCGTAAAGCCCGGGGAATAAATTCAGGAGCCAGTGGATTCAACACATATGTCTTCTTGAGTTCTAAAGCCTCTAACTGTGCCTTGATCTGTTCAAATGTGATCCCATGTAGGCTATGATTTTCATGACACAGGGCAATAAATCGCTCCCAAAACTTCCTGCAGAAAAGATTCAGAAATTTGGGTTACAAATGTCAGCAGGTGAATAGAAGTAACTAAATATGATTTCAACTTCTGCCCACCTCAAGTCCTTAAGGCTAATATTCATATGCATACAATATAGACAGAATCTTTCTAGCAAATGACAAAACTTCTTAAGTTTGATACTCAAACTGCAGTCAGTCTAGGAGTATGCTACATATAAAACAGGACCACAAAAAAAGCTTTGGCCACACTATTACAGAAATATATGTTTGTGAGCCATATAGTAAGGTTTTCAAAACTGATGGTAGCTCAATTTGTAGAAAATCTGTACTTCTAGTCTTACACACACACACACACACACACACACACACACACACACACACACACACACACACACAAACATACACAACACAAAAGAACCTAGATATGCTAGATTACGTAAAACCAATTCAGTCAGAACATAAACTGGAGCCATGAAGGAAATAATCCACAGGAGAATTCTCAAAAATAATCAGCTACTCATATATTTTTCTCTTAGAGATAGATGCTTGTCATAAACACAACTTACAATATTGACTAAGTGGTAAAAGCTAAATAAATTATGGAAAATATAAGTCACTGTAAAAATTGTAATGTTCACTATTCATTTCCTTATCAAATCTGTAAATATTAAAAAGAAAAAATACATTCAAAACTTGTTACAACCATTAAAAAAAAAAAGTTGACCCACTCAGTAAGCAGGCTAATGAACTTAAGAGATACATATTTGAAAAAGAGTTCACCATCCTTCACAGTCAAGGAAATCCAAATTAAAACTGCTTTAAGGGACTGGAGAGATAGCTCAGAGGTTAAGAGCACTGGCTGATCTTCCAGAGGTCCTGAGTTCAATTCCCAGCACCCACATGGTGGCTCACAACCATCTATAATGAGATCTGGTGCCCTTCTTCCAGTACGCAGGCAGAACACTATACATAATAAATAAATAAAATCTTAAAAAAAAACTGCTTTAATGCTCCATCTTAGCAGAGTCAGAATGATCATCACCAAAGGAACAAGTGACAACCAGTGCTGGCGAGGATGTTGGGGGAGGGGGCTATTTGCTGCTGGTGGGAATGCAAACTGCTACAGCCACTACAAAGCTACATGACCCAGCTACAGCAACTAAAAGATACAGCACAGAGGCCATGCACATCCCAGATGCATGCACCGCCATGGTTACTGCTGCATTTTTCACAACAGCTAGGAAATGGAACCAGTCTAGATCCCCAACAGATAAGAGGAATGCATACATACATGCATATATACTTCAGCCACAAGGAAAACCAAAATCATATTTGCAAGAAAACAGATGGAATGGGAGATCATTGTGGGAGGCAAAACATGCCAAACTCAAAAAGACAAATATCCTGTTTTCTCTTATATGGAGAATCTAGATTTAGGAGTGAGTGTGTGCACGTGGGGTGGTCATCAAAGTAGAAAGGAGACCATGAGACAAAAGATCTTGAGGGAGAGGAGGCTAAAAAGATTTCATGTGACATGGAGGTAGAAGGTGGGCTGTTGGGAGCATAGGTACCAGCAAGAGTGGCTGATGGAGGACGGGTGAAGACAGGGAAAGTGGGTGAGGAAGGACAAAGTTCTAACCCAGTGGTTCTCAACCTGTGGGCCACAACCCCTTCTGGGTTGGAATGACCCTTTTACGGGGGGAATGACCCTTTTATAGGGGTTGCATATCAGATATCCTGTATATCAGACATTTATATTACGATTCATAACAGCAACAAAATTACAGTTATGAAGTAGCAACGAAAATAATTTTATGGTTGGGAGTCACCTCAACATGAGGAACTGTTACTAAAGGGTCACAGCAATAGACAGATTAAGAACCATTGTACTGACACATATATATTATATATACACAAATGCCATGAGACCCATGACTTCGTAGGCTAACTTAAAAAAGAAAAGAAAAATATACAAAACTACAAAACACTTCTGGATGCTAAACATCAAACAAATAATTTATGACACACAAAACAAAAACAAAAAAACACACTGACCACAGTTGTATGCTATTAAAGGTTTGGGAACAAATCTCCAAATACAAAATAAATATTACAAAAAGTTTAAGTGTTTGGTTATCACTATAAAATGAATACCTATGAGGTTAGAATAATAGCTTACGCTACTGAAGACATGTGAGGTGCCTTCTTCCCTAGTTAGCATCCCAGTGTCCAGATGGACAGTAGGTAATCAAGAAGGCTTCAAAACCATTAAGGAAAAGATTGTGATAGAAAGTTAAGGCATGAGTGGGTACGGGTGACTGACAAGTCTTAACACGCACTTAATTCTGAACTGTGTTTCTTTACAGTTGCATTTTGCCATCTTATTTGTGGGCATGTGTATGTAAGTACAGGTGCACGTAGCTGTGTGTACGTGGAGGTCAGAAGACAAGCCCCATTGGTTAGTTCTCTATCATGAGTTCTGATGGTCAAAGTAAGGTTGTCAAACTTGTACACCAAATGCTTTTACTTGCTAAGCACCTCGCTGGGCCTTTAGTCTTTTTTTTTTTTTAAAGATGAATTTAAGAGATAGGGCTGGAAAAAAATTCCTAAATATAAAGAAAAGGGAAAGTAAAACATCCACACTTGGGTATTTCTGAGCATGGCATAAAGCTAGGAAGATGATCATTTGGTTTCAGGAACTGTGTGCTGCTAAGAAATGCACACTGAAAAGCTATCCTTCGTTTTTGTTTTAAGAACTAAACGTGTGATGGTTTGAATACAGACAGCCCTCACTGGCTCATATATTTAAATACTTGATAGCCCAGTTGGTAGAGCTGTTTGGAAAGAATTAGGAGGGGTGCCAATGGGAATGGGTTTTAAGGTTTCAAAGGCCCATCCCATTCCCAGTTAGCTCTTTGTGCCTCCTGCTGTGAATCAAAATGTAAGTTCTCCTATACCGCTCCAGTGCCTTGCTTGCCTACAGCCAGGTTCCCCACCATGACCATCATGGACTCCGCCCCTCTGGAGCTGTAAACCCCAAATTAATGCTTTATTTTATAAGTTGTCTTGATCATGGTCACTTAGCACAGCAATAGAAAAGTAACTAACACACAAAGAATCCTCCTAAATGAACCAAGTTTGTGTGTGTGCGTGTGTGTGTGTGTGTGTGTGTGTGTGTGTGTGTGTGTGTGTGTGGTGTGTGGTGTGTGGTGTGTTTACATGCTTAAGTCTTTGTATGTATATGGAGGCCAGAGAAGGACTCTGGATGACCTGCTGTATTACTCTCCACCTAAGAAATAAAAATCTTTATCATAATGATAGAAGAAAACCTATGTAAGGATTATCTCTAATGCAGTAGTCATGATCTCAAACTCCATAGATGTTCTACAATATTCAAATATCAACACAGCTCTGCTATCCAATATACAAAAGAAACAAATTCAGGTCTGATGATAAAGCATTAATTTCATAGCCTGGCATCTTAATTTGTGTTGGACTTTAAGACAAAATACAAAGAATTTACTTATTTTACACAGGCTCTCACTTCCTAATCCTAGCTAACCTGTGTAGATCAGGTTTGCCTGGGACTCAGAGATCTGAGTACTGGGATTAAAGGTGTGAGCAACCACATCCATCTCAAGATTTGTGTGTGTGTGTGTGTGTGTGTGTGTGTGTGTGTGTGTGTGTGTGTGAGAATGCCACATATGTGCAAGTGCCCAGAGAGGCCAGAAGAGGGTGGTGGATCCCCTGGAGCTGAAGTTACATGAAGTTGTGGGCTTCCTGGCATGAGTGCTGGGAACTGTACTCTGGTCCTCTAGGAGAGAAGCAAGCACTCTTGACTGCTGAGTCATCTCCCTAGCACCAATGGATTCTTTTTTTCTATCTGGCTTAATTTGTAATATCAAGTCCACTTTACATAGTTTTCACTTCCAGTTTAGATAGTGGGATGTCCTTAGAATATGCTGTTTTAAGATAATGTTATTAGTTTGTAGGTGTGGGTGTTTTGATCTGTCCATCACCTTCATGCCTGGTGCCCATGGAAGCTAGAAGAGGGCATCAGGTCCCCTTGGACTGGAGTTACAGACAGCTGTGAGCTGCCACATGGGTGCTGGGAATCAAACTCAGGTCCTCTAGAAGAGCAGCCAGTGCTCTTAACCAATGAGCCATCTCTCCAGCTCCTTAAACTACCTTCTTATATTTCACATCCCATCCTCATATTGACCTCAGCTATTGACCATGATCTGCAACAACACTGAATTAAGCAGAAATGTCAAAGAACCTCACATTTCATGGGAATGGCTCATTAACCCCAGCGATCAGAACCAAATACCCTTTCAGATACAGGGTGTTTTTTATCTTTTGGGTGGTTTTTTTTTTTGGGGGGGGGAATCTTTTTGCTATTGCTGCTGCTGTTGTTTGAGACAGTGTCTTAATCTCTAGCCCAAACTGGCCTGGAACTCACAAAAATCTTACTGCCTCAAGCTCCCAATTGCTGGGATTACAGGTAGCAGCCACCACACCTGGCATAAAGGACACCATTTCAGAAGCATTCTACACACTTACTATAAATAAATTGAATTTTGGGCTGGAGAGATGGCTCAGTGGTTAAGAGCACTGGCTGTTCTTCCAAAGGACCCAGGTTCAATTCCCAGCACTCACATGGCAGTTCACAACTGTCTGTACCTCTTGTTCCAGGAGATCTGACACCCTTATACAAATATAAATGCAGGCAAAAGCCCCAGTGTACACTAAATAAATAAATCTCTAGATGGATAGATGGATAGATAGGTAGGTAGATAGGTAGATAGATATGTAGGTCAAGTTTCAAAAGATGGAATTTATATTCTAGACCTGACTTATCTTCTTGCTGTCCCATGGACAGAGCCAAAGGCCCAGGTTCTATCCCAACAGCTGCAATAGACAGTGACATCTGGCACGTTTCCCTTTGCACTGGCTCCCTCATGTACAGCACAGAGTAAACAGTGTTATTACCATTCCTTATTATGTTTCTCATTAAGTTCTTACTTCTAAACTTTCAGAGAAAAACACAGGGAACAGGGGTGCTGGAGAGTCACCCAGGGCCTCATGCAGCTTAGGTAAGTTAAGTATGTACTATTTCCTACAAAATAAGTCCTGGGTTTTTAGCAGGGAACACATTCTATGACATATATGTGGAAGCCAGAGGACAACTTTGTGACATTAGTTCTCTAGTTTATGTGGCAAAGGCCTTTACCTATTGAGCCATCTTACCTATTCTCAAAATTCTTAGTTTTTTGTTGTTGTTGTTTTTTGTTGGTTTTTTTTTTTTCCTAGACAGGGTTTCTCTGTGTAGTTTTGAAGTCTGTCCTGGATCTCACTCTACAGACCAGGCTGGCCTCAAACTCACAGAGATCCACCTGCCTCTGCCTCCTGAGTGCTGAGATTAAAGGCATGCGCCACCACTGCCCAGGCAAAATTCTTAGTTTTAAAGATAAAAAAATTTTGGGTTCTCTTCTCCATAAAAGCTCTTTTACACTTTTGACTGTATGTATATGAATGTGTGTCATGGCATGTGAATGGAGGTCAGAGGATAACTTGTGGGGTCAGTTATCTCCTTCTCCCGAAATGATGGCTCTCAGATCATCAGGCTTGGCATCAGGTGCCTTCACCCACTGAACCATTTCAACAGCCCCATGAAGTCTCCTCCAAGGACCACTCACACTGGCATCATAAGGGATTTCTACCACATGGAGTGGAAGGGCAGGTGAGAATTTCAACTGTACTCAGGGATGAGAATTCACCACTGCAGTTAAGGGCTTTGCCATCTTTGGCACTCTCCCTAAAATGGCACTCTCTTACTATGCTGACCATTTTTTAAAAGAAATGTTGGCTAGAAAGCCACTTATGTCTATACACTGTAACGTAATTTCATGTATCTGAGAAGACACAATGCTACTTTTCGTTTTGTGTATGAGTGAGTGCATGTATGTGGATGTAAGTGTGCACAAGGATGGAGGTCAGAGGTCAACTTCAGGAGCAGCCAGGCTTGTGTTGCTGTTCTTTAAGATAGGGTCTCTCTCTCATCAGCCCAGCACCTGGATTTATTTGGTGGTGGGGGGCACTTTGGATTTTGTGTTAGCTTTGTTTCTAGAATCACTGGTAAAATACTGAAAAGTCATGTGAAAATACACACACACACACACACACACACACACACACACACACACATACACACACACACCAAATAAGTATTCCCTTGATGTCCCTGGGTCATATTCTACATGTGTATTAAATATGTTTCTATTTACCCAAGTTAATGAAATGTGTTAATGCTGAAATTCAGTTATTAAGAAAGAATTCCTCCAAGGCTATGATGTAGAACAACGTCTGTCATGCACAATCATCCTGAGTTTTGAAGTCACTCTGACAACTGTTCTCATGAACCACGTAACAGCTGAGGCCTTGAGCAGTTTTATTTAAACTCACTGGCCGGGTGGCGGTGGCGTATGCCTTAATCCCAGCTCTCGGGAGGCAGAGCCTACAGATCTCTGTGAGTTCGAGGTCAGTGTGGTCTACAGAGCGAGATCCAGGTCAGGCACTAAAACTACACAGAGAAACCCTGTCTTGGGGGGGGGGGGGGTGTCACTGCACCAGGCTGCCCATCTAAGATGAATATAAAACAGCCTGCTGTCCAGTTCCTGGTTCGACTAAATGGGGCAACGCATGCCACGTACACAAGGCAGCACCTGGCAGAGATGGTGGTCAGGAGTAGCTGCTGGATTAATATTTGCTGCGGGGGAGGAAGAAGTTCACTGTATCTATTTCAGACTAATAGACAAATTCTGTTCAAAACAACAACAACAACAACAAAAAGAACAGATTAAGCTGGTGTAACACACAGGAATTATTTCTTGAAATCCCAGTAACACCTGAGAATAGCATGTTACTTTCTAATAAACAGTACACAAAGTGGGAGGGTGCTAATGAAGCCCAACTACAAAGAACTCACTCCTCCCTTCTGACAGGACCAGGGAGTCACATCACATCCCCTGGACTTGGCCTGTATTGTTAACTGTATTAGTTGGTTGGCAAAATTATTATTATTGATTTTATCACTACCAACTCTTGAGCTGGAACCATGATCCAAATGAAAGAGGCAATCAACAATCTCACCGTGTAATCTCTCCCTCTCTTGAACAGTTTATTAATTCCCTGCAAACACTTGGCTTAGCACATGAATTATTTGCAGTCCTTGGTAACCGAGATTCAGTTTGAAACAAGTTATCTGTAGACCCAGCCTAAAGTTGAAAATTAGCTCTGCACCTGACAGCAGGCCCCAGGAAGAATTCTTCACCAATCTGCTTGGAGAAAGTGACAATTCATGTCAGAGATAGACTAAAAATGCTAATCCTGTGCCGTCCAGTGTAGTCTGTCCACAGAAGATGTAGCGGCTTCTTCAATAACATTCAGGCTGCTAAGTACTTAGAATTACTTGCTAGGAGAGCACACAGTAATATGGCTCCACACTACTCAGCCCATTCATTCTCCTGAGAGTACAGAGCTGTCTGCACACACATTCTCCCATTTTATATTATCTAATCATAAACATTAAACACAAATACAAATGGCAAAACACTACAACATTCTAATATTCTAACCAACACATTTTGGATAGACAATTGAGAAACTAAAGCAAACTTCTCAGGATGGGAATAAATTAGGAGACTCGTTAATATCCTTGGCCCTGACTAGTAAGATGGCTCAGGCAGCAGAAGTGCTGCCCGTGCCTACATGATGATCTGAGTGCAACCTCTGGAGCTCAGGTAGAGGTGGAGGGAGAGACTCAATTACACAGTTACTTGTGGACATCTATATATGTGCTATAGTGTTAATGCCCACACATATATCATGCATAGGCGCGCGTGCATGAACACACACACACACACACACACACACACACACACACACACACACACACACACACAGTTCTGTAACCTAGAATACATTCCTTTCCCCAGATTTTGTCATTAGTGATTATAAACACATGGCAATAATTTTTCAGATATATAAAACTGATATCATGTGACCACACAACTGCCCCGAGGTGAGCGATGAAACCTATGAGCTTTACTTTTCTAAAGAAAAAGCTGTTCCTCCTAACGTTAGGAGCAGAGTCTTTTGTTAACAGCTTTCCCTTGGAGAAGGTACTCTAACTTGCTGCTGCACCGACGGCTCAGGGGTACATACAGTTCAGTGTGGAGGAGGCCAGGCCTACAGTCCCAGTGCTGAGGAGTATAGACAGGAGGGCAGAGGAGGAGTTGGCAGGCAGGCTCCTAGCCAGCCAGACCAGCAAACTGGTGAGCTCCAGATTCAGTGAGAGAGCCTATCTCAAAACCATAGGGTGCATGGCTCCAGTCACAGCTTAGTGGTTAAGAACACTTGCTGGCTGGAGGTGGTGGTGCACACCTCTAATCCAAGTACTCAGGAGACAGAGGCAGGCAGATCTCTGTAAGTTCAAGGCCAGCCTGGTCTACAGAATGAGTTCAAGGACAGCCAGGGATACACAATGAAACCCTGTCTGGAAAAAACAAAACACTAAAACAAACAAACCAAAAAACAAAACAACAACAAAAAACACTTGCTGTTCTCCAGAGGACCTGAGCTTGGTTCCCAGCACCCATGTCAGGTGACTCATAACCACCTGTAACTCCAGACACCTGCCCTCATGTACACATATCCATACACAAATAGACACATACACATAATTTAAAATAAAATAAAAATTAATTATACAATAAAATAGGGTGCAGAGTGATTCTAACATCAAAAATGAAATGACTGCCAGGGCATCTTAGGGATTGTCTGACTTCTTTTTACCATTCTGAACTCATATGGCAGGTTCTGTCACGCTTATAATATGCAATCAGTCCCTAGCATATCTCTCTCTTTTTCATAACAAAATATTGTAAATTTCTTTCAAAACTATTTAATCTCAGCACTCAGGAGGCAGAGGCAGGTGGATCTCTAAGTTCGAGGCCAGCCTGGTCTACAGAGCGAGATCCAGGACAGTCAGGGCTACACAGAGAAACCCTGTCTCAAAACAAAGGAACAAACAAACAAACAGAAGCCTTAAAAGAAAATGACTACAAAATTCATCAAAACTTGGAACTGAGTTTTATTAGACCATATTATATACATGTATGAAATTGTCAGAAATAAATTTAATAATAAAATTCAGTTTTTAAGGAATTAAAACAACAGTGAAGCAAGGGGAGGGGAAGCAGTAGACAGTATAAAATTTAAACTTGACCGCAGATACACACATATGCCCCACCTCGGGGCTCTGGCACCAGCTGGCCCTTCTCCCTAGACTTCAGCTGCAGGGACGCATAGCTCGCCCTGGCACTTCCAAATCACTTGAGTCACCGTGCTGGGGAGGCTCCTCTGGCCACACCCTTTCTGGTCCCAAACCACTTCATCTCATCTGTCACCCCAAAAAGCTCCTCATGCTCTTGGTTTGTTTTTGGTATTAATTTATCTAGTAAATACTATGCAATGTTCTTATTTAGTCTGTCAGTCTTCCTTTCCTACCACAGAGACAGATGTCTATGTGTTTGCTCACTGACTATCTCCAGGCTAGAGGGGTGCAGAGAACACAGACACACTTGGGGGTATCTGCTGGCTACTGACTGACTGAATATACCGCTATGTATGTACCATGAACAGCCACTAACCAACAGAGCTCTCACTAATACTGGATGTCAGGTAACATTAACAATAAGCCTGATTTTAACTCACCATGAAGTCATACAGATAAATACATGCATAAGGATGTAAATTACTCCATACTTCCCATTTAGAATCTCTCTCAATTCAGTAACACAGACTTACCTACACCTTCCAATAGAGCACAGAGCAACAGGGTCTCCCACCACAGCAACCAGGGACTGTGCTCTTGTGATGGCAGTATTGAGAAGTTTGTAGTTAGACAAAAAACCATAATCCAAGTCCTCAGTGGAGTCTTCCAGAAGTTGCTCTTTCTTTTTAATCGGTGTCTGCTTATGCTTGCAAGTGTGGCGTGTACGTACTGTGCTAAGAAACAGAACTCTGAATTGCTTTCCTAAAAAAAAAAAAAGTTGAAAACAAGGCGAGATCATCACTCTGAATCACTGATAGAATAAACCTTGCATCTTTAAAATCGTAACTGTTAAACCACAGGTACTGGTAAGACATGAGAAATCCCAACCTTATGAACAGCTGTAAGAAGTGCACAGCTGTTCTGGAAAACTGTGGTGGGTCCTCCAAAATGAAACTGAGTGACCATCTGATCCAGCAAGTCCACTTCAGAAAAACCCACCAAACTGGAAGCAAGGTCTCCAGGAGGACTTGCCACCCACACTCAATGAAGCCTTGCTCATGATGCTAAAAAGTATGACCCAGTCAGTGTCCAGACTTACCAGTGTCATTACATATAATGAGTTACTTAGCTGACGCATGCTACAACATGAATGAACCTCAGACACTGTGTTACTTGAATAAAACCTAGTCACAAAAGAACAAGTATAATTGGAGGGGAAAAGCCCTAAACTGGACAGCTCTGAGATCTGAAACGTGTCTGACCTCAAGCACTTTGGGTAAGAGCTACTCAAGCTGTACTATCTGACTCTTATAAGAGGCCCTAAAGCAGTGAAATTCACAGAGAGAAGGCAAAATAGAATAGTGTTAGACAAGGACTGGAGAAGAAGAATGGGAGTATTATTTAATGAGTACAGAGTCACAGTTTGGAAAGATGGGCAGTCCTAGTGATGGATGGGTGGTAGTGACGGCTGTGGTGATGTACCACAGAAATGAACGCACCGCTTGCCACTGAACTGCTCACATAAAAATGCTCAAAATGTTAAGTTTCGTTATGGACATTTTACCACACCAAAAAAAAAAAGTTATTATGATATTGTTTTGTATTTGAAAAAAAGATCTTGCGCCGGGCGGCGGTGGTGCACGCCTTTAATCCAAGCACTCGGGAGGCAGAGAGGCAGGTGGATCTCTGTGAGTTTTAGGTCAGCCTGGGCTACAGAGCAAGATCCAGGACAGGCACCAAAACCACATAGAGAAACCCTGTCTCGAAAAAAACCAAAACCAAAACCAAAACCAAAAAAAAAAGGATCTTGCTAAATTGCCAAGGTTGGCCCTAAATCTACTATGTGGTCCAGGTTGTCCTAAAACTCCTGGTGATCCTCCTGTCTCAGCCTTTTGAATGTTCAGATCACAAGTATGTGCCACCACCATGCCTAGCTTGATTTTTTTTTTCCCTAATCATTATTACTGGAACCAACCTTTGAGATTATCTAGCCCAACATCCACCCTACACAAGAAGTCTTTTTCTGGAAACACGGCTATTTAATCTCCTGCTAGACAGAGCAGACACGGCTGATTTCAAAAAGAAGCCTCATGGAGTCTGGGTTTGTAGCATTTGTTCCTTAGGAATCTAACATCCCTCACTGTAAGGCAAAGATCCAAACATCTGACAACAGCGTTAATATCAGTCTTTAGTTTTCTCTTCTCTACCCCACATCTTCATCTGCTCCTCACCCATGTGGATACAGAACAGAGCATCAGCTGACCTACATTTACTTTGCGAGCATTTGTGTTCATTACTAAAATAACCAATTGAGTGTGACATGGGAGAAGGGAGCCTCTTGCTTCCCATGATCTAGACACTGGAATACTCTTCGTGTTGCATCATGGACCTAACACCCCTGGGCTTTTGCTAGTGTTCACATCATCACACTACTTCATATATTTAAAGGCACAAAGTTTCTAATGACTCATTTCATGAACAGGAAAACAAGTTTGCTGGTAACTTGTCGTTTAAGGAAGTCTACGGATAAAATATTACAAATTAGTCCCCAAATACAGTACAACAGCATGTATTATGTTGTATATTGTTATATCATAGATATCCATAGCATTACTGTGGTGATAAAAAATTTTAATTTGTTTTTATTATCTTTATTTGGTATTGCAATTTTTTTTTAAAATTTTTATTTATTTATTTATTTATTTTGGTTTTTCGAGACAGGGTTTCTCTGTGTAGCTTTGCGCCTTTCCTGGAACTCACTTGGTAGCCCAGGCTGGCCTCGAACTCACAGAGATCCGCCTGGCCCTGCCTCCCGAGTGCTGGGATTAAAGGCGTGCGCCACCACCGCCCAGCTGGTATTGCAATTTTAATAAACACGCAAATTCAGCATTAGCTTGACAGGAAATGAATATATCATTGCTGGCCCAAAATAGTAAGGAGATTTCTTTTTTTCTTTTCTTTCTTTCTTTATATTACATTTCTTAAAGATCTAAGATTGTTTGAGAGAATTACAAATCCAATCTGGACACACTTTAGGCCATTTGAATAATTTGGTTCATTCCAGTTAACACTTACCTTGAACATTCAGCACCCTTTCTACATTCACATCCGAGAGTCTCTTTTTCCGAAGTTCAGCACGGATCCTAAACACCTGGTCAGCATATGGAGTCACCACACCAATACTGCCATCATCTAACTTCCCCCAGGCAACTGGCCACTTCCTTCTTAGCTCTTCTACACGCTCCACCACTTCAAACACCTTCAAACAAACAGACTTTTTTAAATTAGCACTGGTGTTTGGGCAAAGAATATGGTAACTGAAGCGGACTGATACAGGATTGCATTTTGGTAAATGTCATTTAAAAACCAACCTACAAATGGGAGTAGTACATTCCCGACATGAACATAGTAAGGAAGGTAACATTATACTCACATTTCAAACAGTAAAATCCCATAACATGACTAGTGGAAACACTGAAACCAAGACAACGTGCTGGGCAAGTGGCCACGTCTTCCACATCCCCCATTCTTAAAGTAAAAAAGGGCTGGAATGTCACAGAAAAACAGGATAGAATTACCAATGTAGGGAAAACAGGGAAGCAAGTCCACGCCACCCTGGTGCTTCTCAGTCCACTCTGGAGCAAGCCATGGAACTACCCAACCAACCAGAAGATTCCACTGAGTCCCAGGAGGACAAGGCCTGGTATTGTCCCTCTCGTCCCATACTGACAGAACTAAGGAGAACCATCCACCAGCTGCTAGGTGGCACAAGCTTCAGCTAGGATTACGATAAACCTCAAACAGACTTTCCGAATCTGTTCCCTACTTGTGGTACAAGTTCAGCCAAGCCATGGCATGAACTTTCCTATAGATTATATACAGCAAGTTGCTTGGCGCAGATTAATAAAACATGTTCGTAACTCCTGAGAGATTATTACTTAGAAAACAATTCTATCTATCTACCTACACACCTATCTACTTTCTTACTGTCTGTCTGTCTGTCTGTCTATCTATCTATCTCTATCGGGCAAGTTTAATCTATCTATCTATCTATCTATCTATCTATCTATCTATCTATCTATCTATCTATCTTTATCGGGCAAGTTTAATCCAGAAGTCAGGCAAGATTCTAGTGTCATACAGCTGAAGTGGAAATTTTTAAATGATGTCTTTTAACTATAGTATTTATTTAGTATTTACTAACAATTTCTATTTGAAATTATAATGTCTACTGCAGTAAGGAATATGAAAAGCATGTCTTTGCCTGTGTGGACAGATGTGGGGCAAACGAAACACAGGAGATAGTCTGCTGCAAAACCCCAACAGTTTCCACCATGAAGCAACAACCTAACCACTGCCCTACCCTATCACTCCATTCATATTCTTACATTTTAAGTAGCACAAAATGGTATCAAAATGAAAACTGCCTCCCAACAGACCTGCTGTACACTAGTCAAACTCAGCAAAGACTCTAGAAACTGATCAAAGAGCTTACAAGCAAGAAAGAAACGTCTATTTAATGAAATCTGCAGCCCCTGAGTAAGAACAGAGAGAGGCTTGGGCATCCATACTGGGGACTGCTTCCAGAACTGCTTCAGCAGCCAATTTCCACATCCCTCAGATCCCTGTGTTAAGGAAGCCATTGCAGGTGGTTTGAGCAACCAATAAACACTGGCAGACTCTATTTTCCACAGCTCCCACTGCAAACGGCCTGTATTGAGCAGCTAGCAGCAGCTGGGTAGAGCCTGTACCCCTGTCCCCACCTCCTACAGCACAGGGGAAGCGTACAGTCTTTCTCAGGGCAAAAACCCTATCCTATGTACATTCAGCAGCCAGTGAGAATCAGTGGATCCCAACTTCCCTTGGTCTAAATGCAGAAGATTCTTACTAGAGGCTAGAGAGATGGATCAGCAGTTAACAGTACTTTCTAGTCTTCCAGAAGACCTGAGATTGGTTCCAAGCACCCATACTAGGAGGCTGACAAACACTTGTATGTAACTCTAGCTGTAGGGGATCTAAAACTCCTTCTGGTCTCCCCAGGCATTTGTACTCAAATGTAGATATCCACACTGATACTTAATATAAATAAAATTTGTATTTTCAATAAATAGCTTTTTTTTTTTTAAAGTAAACTTCACAAACTGGTAACACTGCTAAGAAACCCAACTTCAGCTGGATCAAAGAATTAAAGGTAAGATAGCGGACGTGAAAAGATACTAGCAGGAGTCAAGAGATCTGTGCTGACAGAAGACTCGGTAAACAAGACAAGTCAGAGAATACTACCCAAAGTGAGGAAATCGATGAAGAAAAATTACCAAAGGGGCATAATTCAACTCCAACCTCTATCTAATATTAGAGAAAATCAGATGGAGAGAAGAAAAAATACATTAAACATACCCAAAGAAAATCAGGCCGGGCGTGGTAGAACACACCTTTAATCCCAGCACTTGGGAGGGAGGCAGATCTCTGTGAGTTTAAAGCCAGCCTGGTCTACAGAGCAAGTCCCAAGACAGCCACAGCTACACAGAGAAACAAAAACAAACAAATATGTGTGTTTACAAATACAAAAAAAAAAAAATGGAGCTTCATTCAGCCATCAAAAGAAAAAATACGTTTTTCTGCAGGAAAATGGATGAACTAGATCATCATATCACATCTGAAATAAGCCAGCTTCACAAAGACAAATAGCATATGTTGTCTCTCACATGGGAAACCTGGGGGCAGGTTGGGGGAGATGGTGTGGATGTGAAAGGATAATTCTCATGAGGAAAAAAAAGGGGGGAAAGAGGAGTAAACATGACCGAAATACTTGATGTACATGCATAAAAATGCCATGATGAAACTTGTTACTCTTTAAAATTATGCTAATATATGCTAATAAAAATGTCCAAGGAAATGATGGCTAAAATACATCCATACCTGATGAAAAACACATGTAAATACAATGAACTTCAAGTTAGATAAATACACCCAGATGTACACTAAGATGTGCACCCAGACATATTACAGTAAAAATGCTCAAAATCAGCCGGGCGGTGGTGGCGCACGCCTTTAATCCCAGCATTCGGGAGGCAGAGGCAGGCGGATCTCTGTGAGTTCGAGGCCAGCCTGGGCTACCAAGTGAGTTCCAGGAAAGGCGCAAAGCTACACAGAGAAACCCTGTCTCGAAAAACCAAAAAAAAAAAAAAAAAAAAATGCTCAAAATCAAAGACAAAAATGAAAGCTTAAAAACAAGAAAAGAAAAACAGCCATATTTACAAAGAGACGCTAAAGATAAACACATTAACTTCTCATCAGAAAGAGAAGGGGAATGGTGTGGGGGGAGACTGACTAGTTAATCTTACATCCAGCAAAACTTTCAAAACTGAGGGAAAATAAAGACATTTACAGATAAACAAACGGAGAGAATTCCCTACTAGCAGACTAGCTGACCACAAACACCAAAGGACATTCTTTGGTCTAAAATCAAGTGGTACCATACAGCAATGCAAATTGCTAGAGTGCCGCTAAGACTTGACCCTGACGAAAGGCAGAGCACAGCTGTTTCTTTTCCTTCCCCCTCTCAACTGATTTAAGAGCAACTGTATAAAATAATGTCAACCTACAACACATAAATACACTATGTGCTGACAGTCAGCACACAAGAGGCAGGTGAACAATTATGCCAGGTAGTCACTCAAACCACACAGAGAGGTGACGAGATCATAAACACTCAATGGGAATAGTAATATAGGCTAGTTGGGAATGCAGCTTGGTGGTGGAACACATAACTAGCATGTTCAACACCATGAATCTCTGTGTCTGTCCCATTTCTCCTCTTGGAATTGTACACACACATATAAACACACACACACACACACACACACACACACACACACACACACACACACACTTTAACAAAGTATCTTTCAAATTATTAAGCATTGACACAATATGTATGAGAATGAAAGCTGAAAAAAGGAGAGTAGATGTAGAGCTATGTAGGAGTTTCTCCATAATCCCTAAAATTTAGTTAGATAAATCTGAAAGAGATTCTGATTTTTTATATATATATATATATATATATATATATATATATATATATATATATATAGAGAGAGAGAGAGAGAGAGAGAGAGAGAGAGAGAGACATCTTAGACAACTAAATATATAATACATGGAAGTTTGCATATACATATACTTATATAATTTAAATGAAATTTCGACATCTGAGCTGACAATGATCCCCACAAGAGCCATCATAGACAATCTAACAAAACACCAGCACTAGGTATGAGAAGCACTCTTTTGAGTTACTCTTCAAGGTTGTCTAAGAGACTCCTAATACAATATATAGGCTATAGCTGTTACCCACAGAGGTGGCAGATAAATCCCTATTGCTGAAGACACCATGCACTTGGGACACAGGACCCAGAGGACACAGCTGGATCAGACATGAAATCCTCCTCCTTGGGGACTAACTTTCATGGTACGAGAAGGCACCATGGAAGCTCCAAAAGGAAAAAAGCAACCAATGGTTCTATCCAGTTATGAACCATAAACAACCAGCATGGCATGATAATCCTAAGGATACAGGACTGGCACATATGCCTTGGCAGTAACCAACAAATCCAGAATTGAACTTAAGACCCACTAAACAAGAGGGAAATCATTCCTGGTACTGGAAATCTAGCCACCTAACCAGGGCTAGAAGTCATGGATCTTGAAAGAGAACCTACAATCACCATTTTACTAATCCAGTATAATCCCTAGTTAAATCTAAATATTTATCCTTATATCCAAAAGTAAGTGTATGGGGCTGGAGAGGTGGCTCAGAGGTTAAGAGCACTGGCTGCTCTTCCAGAGGTCTTGAGTTCAATTCCCAGCAACCACATGGTGGCTCACAACCATTCATAATGAAATCTGGTGCCCTCTTCTGGCCTGCAGGCATGCAGACAGAACACTGTATACATAATAAATAAATCTTTTTAAAAAAAGTAAGTGTAATCCTCACCCTTTGATCAAGGAAATTTCTCACCATTAACAGAAAACCACAGTTGATGAAAATGTAGAGTTGTAAAGTCCAGTTCCAACTGATACTTATCCATAACACAACTCCTGGACCTGAGGCTCAGGAATTATTTCAGAAGAGGTGTGGAAAGATTTTAAAAACCAGAGGCACAGGAAATTTGCTATGAGAATTTGTCTCCTAGAAACGTCAGAGAAGCTAACCCATAAAGTCTGACTAACATGATTGCATAAATATGACCTGAGCAAGGATGATACCAATAGACAGCGAACATGGAAGGGGGAAGTTCATTAGACCTTTATCCTAGACAAAGAACTAGAGGCAACTGAGGGATGCTGAGAGCAAGAGAAATGGTCTTCCCCAGGGAAGAGCACAGCAATCAGTTACCCAATTCTAAGTGGTCAGCCCTGAAAACATACACGTAATATTATACAGACTAAGCAGCTTGTATTTATATATTTGGGGGGGGGGGATTATATATAGAGATACACACACACACACACACACACACACACACACACACACACACACATACACACATACATACATACATACATACATACATACATACATACATGTGTATAAAACAAGGTAAAAGAGGCCATGAATTTCAAAGAGAGTAAGGGGATATATGAAGGAATTAGAAGGAGGAAAGAGAAGGGGGAAATGATATAATTAATAATCTCAAAAATAAAAGTTGTGATTAAAAATAATAATAGCAAAACAAGCAAATACATTTAAATAAACAAATACATACATGTATATATAAATGAAATAATTAAAGAAAGCCCAAGTGGGATTAAAAATCATTTAATCCCAGCACTTGGGAGGCAAGGCAGACAGATCTCTGTGAATTCAAAGCCAGCCTGGTCTACACAGTAATTTCCAGGCCAGCCAAGGCTACATAGTGAGACCCTGTCTTGGAACAATGCAGGGTTTGTGAATATGATCAAAATATATTATATATGTGTATGAAATTAATACCATTAATTATCTAATTAATATATGCTCTAAATTTTTTTCCCTTGAGACTCAGCTTCAGTAAACTGGAATCTGGTTTTCTGTCTGTGGAAAAGCCCCTGGGCAATGGACCTCAAAAAATTTTGACAGCAGTAACTCATGTGACTGAACAACCATGCTCTGGGTAAGTTCAAAGTCTCTTGAAATTTCTTTAAAGTTACATGTTTAATATTTAAAAGTAGCACAAATGTTGTCTTTGCATTTTCATAACATAAACAGAATTTTTCCCAAAATACTTTCAGTCCAGTAAAGTCGTGCTCAACATATCCTACAGCTTGGAGAGGACCTGAAAAACATACCACAAAGGAACAAGGGCCCAGCTGCTTGGCTATGACCCCTGGTGCCACATGAGGACCTCAGCCCCTTTCTAGAATGTAGGCCCTGCTTGTTACTCTCTGTCAGCCCCCCTCTTACCAAGACCGACTTCCAGACTTCCAGCCTGAGTGGAAAAAAAACCAAAAAGAGCTGTACGGCTACCTTCAGTCTTGCCATCTTTAAAGAAAAGTTTACCTGTTCCTAAAATTAAATGGCACAGACTAATGAAAATGTCAGGCTTCTTGGCTTGGAGCTAGGGTCTAAGCACATGGCACTACATTCTAAACTCTAAACCCCTGGTCAATTGTTAAAGGGACATAGGAGTTCCTGTTATGTAACAAAAGCCGTTTCTCTGTAAATACAGGGAGCAGAGATTAGGAATGAAACACACACACTTCCTTCACCTTCCTGTGACAGCTGGAACCTTAACCACAGGCTTCCTAGTCTGCCAGTTTGCCTACTGCCTGATCTGACCCTCAGGACACCCATACCCTCTCTGGAAAGCAGAAACTGGAAGAGCACATTACGAAGCCCCTGATGAGACAGTGAGGCCAAGGTTGGAGACTGTGTGGCCTCTCCAAAGCACAGTATTCTGCAATTCAACTCTTTCTCATTCAAAATGATGTCTCCTTTGAGCTAGAAATTTAACCAGTCTGTTTTAGACTTGAGCCAATAATGCTCTATGTTAGAATATGTTGGTTTTTTCTAACAAAGTTGTGTTTTCTGTTTTAAAATTATTACAAAAAGAAAATCGAATTTTTTTCTCCTGTAGATTCATCTTAATAAATAAATGTAAAGTTTGCTCAATTTTCTTGTAAAGGAAATCAACACACTATAAACTGTCAACCCTGAATTTGAAATGAATGCTCAACAGACTCAGACCAAGAAAAGACTAAAATCAGCATGAAGAACTAAGATACCTCTGCATTGTTATAAAAGGCTGTGCTATTTTTCTCTTGTACGTCTTCCCCTCGTGCAGTAAAGAACGTTAGTGGGTAGAAGTCCTTGTGTGCTGGCTGCTTTCCACTGGCCATCAGTTTACCCTCATAGAAAAGCTCAGAGGTATAGCTGCAGAAAAAGAAAAGAACAAAGGGATCTATCAGCCAAATTAATTTCACCTACACAAAAACCCACTGAATTCTAATACTAATTTATGTCCACAGTTAATTTTTGTCCAAACATTGAATACTCATGATGCCAATAATTTCCCAAAAATATGGACAGTGGTAACAGAGAAGGTCCCTATAACACCATTGTTAAATGCACCCATTTTGTAAGAAATGAAGCCAGAATACAAAAGAAATGATGAGCATTCACTACTAGCTGAACTCTCTGCTCTGAGAAAAAAATCCCTAAGCTGCGTTTTCTTAGTTAACATGTAATCTCACTCATGCGGATCATACACTGCCATGTATCACCTAACAACCCTTTGGTCAACAACAGACCCCATGGACTATACCAGAGTTGAAAACCTCCTAGCACATCCAAACCACAGCAGCAAGAGGTCCCCGCCTCTGTGGTGATGCTGGTAGAAACCCACGAAGGACAGTGATGCACAGTAGGTCTGTTCCAAAGTATTGCTTTATGCACTTACTCTAGTTTGTTATTTCCGAGTGTACCTTTCCACCTATAGAAACATGTCTGTAGAGTGGTCTGTCCCATCATACCGGCAGTCTCCTACATCTCATGTTCATCACGAGACCGAGTTAGAAGACTGGTTACTGTTTAGGTCTGTGAAAAGCGTTCTGATACTCACACAATAACAAAATTCTAATGACAGGTCTCAGACTGCAGCCTAGGATTAAGTGATGGTGACTGCACGTGCAAACACAAAAATGCACAGACTTGGATACAATGCATTGACTGCAGTCTCCAACTGTAAAGGGAACACATTGTCTAGTACTAAACTCTTCACTGACTACAAATGGATGGAACTATGAAAAAGGATGACAGTGTGAGATGGTGACAGAACATAATCTATGCAATGCTTCCAGTGAGATCTAAAAATGGTTTCCACAGGCATGACAGAACAGGTATTACTAAATTATAGGAAGCTTTCACAGCTTGTTTCTGGGGTGGATGTTGACTGGCAAAGAGCACACAGGGGCTCCCAGGTGGCCAGGCTCTACTCCTTCAGCTGGAGCTGGCCATAAGACTCAGTCACCCAGATGTCATGTAGAGGATGACTCTTTTATACATGTGACTGTATTTAAAAGGAGTCTTTAAAACTGTGTTAGAGGTTTCTCCTTCCATTGCCTCCCTTTCTCTTCAAATAGGTGACGTAGGCATGTCATTCTTCATACAGAGCATGTATTAATTCATAGAACAGCGTATCATGACCAGTAACACAGGCATGTCATTCTTCATACAGAGCATGTATTAATTCATAGAAAAGTGTATCATGACCAGTACCACAGGCATGTCATTCTTCATACAGAGCATGTATTAATTCATAGAACAGCGTATCATGACCAGTAAAATCTGAAGTTTTGGTGCTCATACTGCATTATTTCTTATGAAGAATCACAGCTTTAGATTTTGAAGTATTCTTTTAAAAACACAAGTCAGGCATAGTCTGTAACACTCAGAGATCACAAATAATCTACCTAAAGTCACCTGTGCCTGGCCATGTGCTGGCCGGCTTCCCTCCCACAGCCCACAGGAAGCGTGAGTTGGAGGGGACAGCTCACACCTACTTGATGATAGCTTCATGGGAGCGGTAGTTCTCACAGAGGAGGATCCTACATGGAAACTCGGCAGGGTAATGCTCGTAGAGTCGATCAAGTAATGAAACGTGAAGGTTTCTCTCCCTGGCAAACTCGCTGTAAACAAAAGGACTGAGCTGTAAAAGACAAATATACAAAAAAAAAATTAACCAGATATAAAAACAGTACTTTTAAATCTACTTATACAGTCTTCTACACTAAAACTTCTCATGTATTTAACATGCTGAATGTTGGAGCAAGCCACCCCAAAAAATTACTCATATTGTCTACAAACCATTTTATACACTAATACAAGGGATTAGATGAAATTTCCTACTTAGTGTAGTACAGTAACAGAGTCTAGAGTTCCTACAGTTACACAGGGCCCCTCCTACACAACTTAATTTAAAGAGCGTAAATCAGTTACTTCACCAAAACCAATCAATTCTTAAAATATAAACTTGGCGGCTGACGAGACGGCTCAAGGGGTAAAGGGGATTGCCATCAACTTGATGGCTGGAGTTTGATCCTGAGGACCCAGCTGGTGGAAGGAGAGAACTGACTGCTGCAAGTTATCCTCTGACCTCCACATGCACAGCACACACACACACACACATACACACACACACACACACACACACACACACTAAATAAATAAATTACGTTTTTAAAGGATTTACTTTAAAAATAAAATAATAAATTCAGACAGGATGTTGTGGCACACACCTGAATCACAGAACTTTTTTTTTAAGATTTATTTATTTATTTAATGTCTATGCATGTACAACCTTATGCCAGAGAGGGCATCAGATCCCACTATAGGTGGCTGTGAGCCACCATGTGGGTGTTGGGAATTGAACTCAGGACCTCTGGAAGAGCAGCCAATGCTCTTAACCACTGAGCCATCTCTATAGCCCTGAATCACAGAACTTAAGAGACTGATGCCAAAGTGTTGTATTTTGAGGCTAGCCTGGAATACATAGTAAAATGTTGTCTCAATAAATAAGTAAATGAATGAATAAATAAAATTAACTCATAGGATATTTGACTATGATGCACAAATACTAATATTAATAATCAACAAGTTTTTTCCATAATGAAATTTACTGCTCTATATGCTAACCTTAAAAATGAACTTTAAAGGGGCTGGAGAAACAGCTCAGAGGCTAAGAGCACTCACTGCTCTTGCAGAGGACTCGGGTTCAGTTCCCACATCCTCTTCTGACCTCCACTGGCACTGTATGCACATATATACTCCCGTACACACATACAGATAAGTATTTTTTAAATTAACTTGTAAAAACTACAAAAAGGGTTATGTAATTAGCCTTAAGTCAATAAATAAATGGTAAAATATAGTAAGAAAATTTCCTTTTAATCAAAAAAACAATTTTTTAATCAAAAAAAATGATAAACAGCCTCCTTGATCTCAAGAAGTATAAAGAGCCACTCTAGGCTGCACTTTTTACTGCTAAAAATCACACTAACTACTTCAGGCAAAGCAAGAGCACAAAACTCCTTCTGTACACTGGAAGACTCAAACCTGCTCTGCAGACCCTCAACCCACTGAAGAAGCAGGACAAGTTCCAAACAGCATGACAGACAACATCACAGATGTTCTTCTCTCTTTACATGTACGTATGCAAATAACATAAAATCCCACATATTCTTTGAACCTGTGACTATAATTTTAATTGTATGTTTTATTACATATGCTATTAAAAATTAACCCTGCACAAAAACAGATATTAGAAGTAGCTATTACAGGGCCCTTGGCAGACTCTGCTAGATACACCCTTTGCCTTGTCCTGTCCAGTCCTCGAGGCTGCTGCCACGCTGGCAGCCCCACACTGTCCCCACTGCTGCCACCCTGGCAGCCCCACATTGTCCCCACTGCTGCCACCCAGGCAGCCCCACACTGTCCCCACTGCTGCCACACAAGTTGAGGCTCCTTTCCTGCCCCCTCACCAGTTTTCCCACCTGTTTCCTTTAGAACAGAGGCCAACCCAGCTAGTCAGGAGTCCCAGAAGGGGCCCTGCTCTGGTAACAACTGGTATTTTAGAAACAGAATACTAAACATCAAAATACACCTTGCAAGACAGTGACTAAGGTGACGCCTACCTGCATATGATCACCAGCCAAAACAATCCGCGTGTCTTTCGTGGCCAAGGCTAGAGGCATAATGGTCTCGCATTCCATGGCCTGGGCAGCTTCATCTAACAGAATGTGCGTAAAAACCCCTAGAAGGCACAGTGCAAAGAGAACACACATCACAGCGGCAGCACAGCAGCAGACGCTTCCGACTGCACTACGGGAAGAGTTTCCTCCACTAGTCCAAGAGTCATGAGGACTTTAAGGCCATCCTCAATCTAGACAATCAGCTTAAGCATGAGTCTTTTAAAAGGCTGGGGCTGGAGAGGTGACTCAGCAGCTGAGCAAATGCACTGCTCTTGTAGAGGACCTGAGTTTGGTTCCCAGCACCCATGATGGATGGCTCACAACTACTTGTAACTCCAGGGAACTGATACCTTCTGCACACAGACACATACACACATACGTACACATACTCTCTCATATACAGAGTACTAAAAAACAAATGTTTTTAATGTTTTAAAAGAAAAGATTAAACATTTTCTTTTGTTACCATTTTTTTTTTCAGGAACTGCATAAATCCTGAAATTGTTGTCTACTACTTAAGTTAGAAAAGGCAGAGGCAGGGGGATCTGAGTTTGAGGACAGCCTAATCGATAGAGTGAGTTCCAGCAAAGCCAGGGCTACACAGAGAAACCCTGTCTCTCTCCCGAACGCCCCCTCCAAAAAAAAGAAGAAAGAAACCTTAATCATGTGCCATGATTGTTATTTCTACATGACAAGATACAAAAGCAACTTAGCAAAACCCTCAACAAATCACACACACACAAAAACCACTGTCCAAATTTGAATACTTCACGTGATCATTAGTTAACCAAAACCACCTGGCCAACTATAGCACAAATGGAATGGCAGTCATGAAGTTGCCTATCCTGGGGGTTAGGAAATGTTTTTCGGTCAAGGACCAAAGAGTCCTGTCCCTGCTGAAGATCCCACCTTAACTTTCCACCATAAGAGCAACCACAAAGAACCAAGTTAATAAATGGGCACAGGCAGCTGCATTTCATGCAGAAAAAGAGACACTTGGCCAGATATGGCCCACAGGATAGCATTTGCCAAAGGAGCGAATACTCTAAGCCTGGGAGACAGCCACCAGTGGTGAGTGGGCATACCGGGTTCAAGGTCCAGCTGGCAGAGGTACTGGGAAGTATTCAGTGTGACCACCAGCACTCGATGTTTAAGAATGTCTTCCTTCTGGGGCATCTGAAAGGTGGAATGTGTGCTTGAGATCAAACAGTACTGGTGCACAACCGGGTGGACAGTCTTCACCCAGCGGTTTCGGAAGTACACCCTACAAGAGAAGACCACACTTCCTGTTAGGATGGTCACAGCAGCTGATTATTAAAACACTAGACTATTATGTAAGACTACAATGCCAAAAATTAACAAATAAATCTCATAATCATTCACACCATATTAGAGTTTAGAATTTTAGTATAAAACTGCCACTATACCCACAATGACCTTCCTATCAAATATTTTAGAAGATATAAAGATATAAAAATAAATCACAAAATAAATACCAATTTTTTTAAGTATTCAGATTAATCTTGCAACAGAACACAGAAATGTATGTTTTACAAGCAATAATTTTAAAAATTAAGTTTGAAACCTTTCATTCTCAAATTACCTTTTCTCAATTACATTCTTATAGAAATGTACTTAACTCATATTTTGTAAAATTGTATGCTTATAACATTTTTAGTTGAGAACAATTTGCAATAATTTTACTTTAGAAAAGTCTTTCAACTTTTTAAAAAGACATCTGCCTGGGCCGGGCGGCGGTGGCTCACGCGTTTAATCCCAGCACTTGGGAGGCAGAGCCAGGTGGATCTCTGTGAGTTCGAGGCCAGCCTGGTCTCCAAAGCGAGTTCCAGGAAAGGCTCCAAAACTACTCAGAAAAACCCTGTCTCGGGGGGGAAAAAAAAAAAGAAAAAAGACATCTGCCTGGTCTTCTGGAATCTGAAGATGAATTAAATTTTTGAATAATCAAAATTTCTTTAGTGCAAATCTTAAGAAATTTCATCTCTTCAAATAACTACAGTAGAAACTATAAACAGGCCTCAGGTCTAGATTGCTCTGATCTGATGTACTTCTAGCCTTCACCATCCCCACTGACCCACATGACAGGGATCTACTGGCTGCTAACTATGCTCCAGCACAGAGGCAGAGTGCACGGGGCTTTGGAGCAACCACAAAGGCTTTACTCTGAGTCTAATGAAAAGCCATCGGACTGGACAGGCAGTCACGACGACGACGACTCCTGTTGTTAAAAGACAAGTCTGATCTCTGTGCAGAATCTCCTCAGGGAGAGAGTTAAAGGGTGCACAGTGCTCAATGTCTGACAAGCAGGTGGGGCAGGACTCCAGCACCGCTGGCTTCTGTGATGCAAAATCTACTCCCTTGGCCAACTTCCGGGCATCTGCAGGGACATGGAAAGATGTGTTCATGATGGTCCTCCTACGGGTTGATTCTAACACAATCCTAAGTGAGGTGGGGGAAAGCAGGGTACAGAAGCAGCAGGGAGGCACGTTAGGAGGTTAATGCCAGGGACTGGACATGAGATCATGTGGCTTGGATCACAGCAGAAATACAGAAATTGGATTCGCTAGACATTTTAATGTAATGTTAATAGAACTCATTAATGAACTATGATTCTATGTTTCATTTTTGTTTTTGAAACAGCATCTGAGATCATCAAGGCTGGCCTCAACCTCACTACCAAATGGATGGAGAATGATCTGCACTCCTGGTCCACCTACCTCTACCTCCCGAGTGCTAGATCACAGTCACCTGCCTCTAGCTTTTGAAACTAGACAATTTGGGGTAGTGTTTACAAAGGTGGAGGAAGAAATATAATAAAAGTAATATTTTTCAAACCAGAGTATTAACATTGGCAAATGACACTTTTCAGTTCATAATCCAAAATATATCACTGAGAATATAAATGTAGCTCAGGGGATAAAGCCTAATACGCTCAAAGCCCTGAGTTCCTAGCACCACAGGGGAAAAATAACATACGTAAATATATATGTGACAGCAATTAAACATTTTATGTATCCCTAGAAACAAACCAATTCACATATTCCATAGGATTTACATTAAACCTTAAAACAGAAGATAATCTGGTATATATAATTTTAATTCACTGAAACTAGATAATTTGGGGTAGTGTTTACAAAGGTGGAGGAAGAAATATAATCAAGGTAACACTTTTCAAACCAGAGTATTACTGTACATGTAGTAAATTCATATGCGATAAGCAACTAAAAATGTTACTACTAGCCAGGTGGTGGCGCACACCTTTAATCCCAGCACTCAAAAGGCAGAGACAGGCGGATCTCTGTGAGTGAGGGCCATCCTAGTCTACCTTGCGAGTTCCAGGACAGCCAGAGCCACAAGAGAAACACTGTCTCAAAAAAACAAACAAAACAAAAAAGTTACAACTTAGAACAGGAATTGTCAAAACCTGATGATCCCTTTGAAAAAAACAACAAAAAAAATGTTTCTTTAAAGAGTCCCCAAAATGACAGCTGCCTTCAACTTCCCCAGAAAACAGCAAGCACACTTCCTCCAGATGACTGCCCCCACTGCACCATGACCTTGCCAGGGTCAGAAACTTAGCCTCAGAGCCACATGCAAAAAGAAACTGCTTTCCTCACACTTCTTTTCCTTGTGTTTGTTTTTATTTGTTTGTTTTGTAACTTTAAGACAAAGTCTCCTTATGTAGCTCTCGCTGACTCCTGATACAGACAAGGCTGACCTCAAATTTGCAGTAACTCACCAGCTTCTACCTCATAAGTACTGGGATTACAGCCATGTGCCACTCCTCATCTGGCTTTCTATATTTCTTTTTTGGTAAAATCTCTGAATTCTACTCATTTGTCTGTTTATTTATTTACCTATCTTTGGGGGAGGGGTGCACATATATGTGATATATGAACATGTATATATATCTCCCAATTCTAAATAAAGTAAACCAAAACTCAATGTAATCTAAAATGTTGTCTAAGAACTCCAAATACTTTAGGCTCAGTTGGCAACTACAAGAAATTTCATGAATTCTAATCCTAAGTATGTGTGCTTACCCATACTTACTACTATATTTACTCACTGACTATTGAACTATTTTCCAGGACCAACTCCACACTACAGGCCTGAGAAGCAGCCAATTCCATCAGCCTGCCTTCCCAGCAAGAGCTTTCTTCTTGGCAATCTGTAGACATTTGGTGCCCTCTTGTGTTGCATCTCTCGAATTCCAGAACAATGTCAGTAACACTGATTTTTTTCCCTCTGGCTAGGGGTGTGGCAAGTGGGTAGCACTTCGTAGCATCACCAAGCCTGTGAAGTTCCATCCCAGGACCACCCAAAGAAAAAGCAAAACCCTCAGAGAAGCTCAGCTTCCCAGAGCAGTTAGTCATTCTAATTAATCCTCTCTAGCTCCCAAACCTATCATGGTTATTATTCAGTAGGAAAACTATCAACTAATCTGAGCTAATGTTATAATGCAGACTAAGAATTCAAGACACAGATCCTCCTAGGCTCCAGCTGCAAGCTAACACCTTTCCTAGAGAGAAAAGCTACAGTATGTAGGGTGTTGTATAAAGAAACACTCGAGGAAGGTAGGCATTTTTCCATTTTATTCTGTTTATGAATGAAATAACCTGAACCTTGCATTTGAAAATAATTATTTTTCCATCTTGGATTCAAGAACTCTAGAGCTAAGAAAAAGTGAGATCTCTGCTATTGGACAAGTTTCTATATTTGGACCACTCTGACTATACTCTACTAGAAAATCACATTACACATATGGAGACATATGTCATGGTAGATCCTCACAGCCCAATGCACATGGAAAGGCTATATAAGCTAGAAAAATAATGGAGTCTACTCTCAAATCTCAAATATCCTACGCTAAGTCCAACAATTCACTCAACTGTTCTGTTTTTGTTTGGCTTGTTTTTTTGTTTTTTGTTTTTTTCAGACAGGGTTTTTCTGTGTAGCTCTGGCTGTTCTGGAACTCACTCTGTAGACCAGGCTGGCCTCAAACTCATAATGATCCACCTGCCTCTGCCTCCTGAGTGCTGGGATCAAAGGTGTGCACCACCACCACCACCAGCTTCACTCAACTGTTTCTAAGCCAAGAAGGCAATGATATCCAAGACTGCCACATTTTCTATGCAACACATACATACACACACACACACACACACACACACACACACACACACACACACACACACACACACACAATGTTCTAGCACCACTACAAGTAAATAAAACAATCAACTCTTCTTCATTAGAGTGAGAACACTCAAGGTAAAATGTTAGCTCTTCCACTTTCACTGTGAGGTCAGAGGTTAAAATCTGCAACCTACTGTGAAAGGATCCTTCAGTAAACATCTTGTCTTCACTTAGAGAATAAGCGGTCAGTATTTTATTATTACACATAACTGGGTTCTACTGCACTGATAATTTCTGCTGCCTTTAGAGTGAGAGTACAACACAGCATGGACATCTGTGTTAACAGGCCATGCCACTGTTCTAAACACTTTCAAAAGGTTTTAGTGACAGGAATTAAAGAATTAAATAGCATAACTTCATGTTTCCATGCCTGGACTCAACTAGGAATAAGAGGTTAGTCTATTATGGATCTAAGTGCGGTTAGAAATTAATTTTAAGCAATAATTAATAATCATTTGAACAACCTAGGCCATGATATATTAGTTTGCAGAATGGTAAAACTAAGTATTAATTCGTATAACAAACAACAGAAGCAAATGGTATAATAAAAAAGTATTTATGATTCTTTATTGTTTTCTGAAGAAAAGGATTTCTATTCTCCCACAATCTATATTTAAGTACATTTATGTCCACATATAATCACTGGACCTTTCTATAAGCAACCGAAAATTTCCTCTGCTGCTCTCTCTCTTCTATGGTAGCAAGAAGTCCTGACCACGTCACCACGGTGCTGCAGAAGTCACCGAAGTGCCTCTGCTTCTCTAACGTGCAGCTTCCAAGAAGTGACCACAGCCAGAATTGTACTCCGACAAGAACTGTCATTCCATGACTACTCTGCTGTGCAGAACATGCTAGAAGTTTAATCAAACTCCATTTGATGCAAGCTAATCACTTATCTTACACTATTTTTTAGATGTACATACCAAAATCTACTCCAACCGTAACAACAGTTTTACACGAGAAACTTAAAAAAGGATGTCTTTCTGTATACATAATGTTTCAGAAATAATCAATAATTTTTACATTTTGCCTTAATTTAAGGATTTCTTCCAAAGACATAACCTCCAAATGCCAATGCACAGTTAATGCTTTAGGTGTTTCCAAAGCCTCTAAAATCTTTACAGACACCTTTTCTTAAGAATAACAAAGAACGATACAGATACATAATAAGCCTTAAAAATACCTGAGAGGTCTTGCCTGGGGATTGCCTGCTTCTACATATGGATGTAAATAATCCTTTATGTAGAGGTCAGCAGCACTATTAGAATGGGTGCAAATGAGAATCCTGCTGAAATAAATGGTGCAAATAAAAAGAATGACAACACAAAGCTAGTCAAGCAGTATATAATACCAAAAGAGCAGTGGCCATCTTATACGTCTACTTCCCTCACCCTACTCAGATTCTTCACCAGGACCCCATGATGCCTTTAGGGGAGTATGTTACTCTAAGCCAAAGAGGAGTTCCCCCAAATAATTTTTAAATCTGTCCATAATAAACACTTTAAACCCAGCTCTTTGAGTTCTAACATATCCCATCCCTCGGCAGACTTGACGTTTTAAGAGCTATGTTAAAAACTATCATTGTCTACATTGCCAGCTTCTAAAACAGCATATTTTAACACAATACAAACTTCATTGCTTTGAGGTCTTACTTTTCCTTTAATGAGTAAGAGCTGGATAAATTGTCTCATTAGCCCTCATTCTATCTCTACAACAAGAAGAGAGGCTGTGCCTGCCTAAGGAGACAGGGGACCGCCTCCTCCGGCTCACCTCGTCTCCTGCTGCTGCAGTATGTGCTTGACGGCCTGAGCCAGCGTGAAGGTTTTGCCTGTCCCATAGGGTCCGATGATGAGGACAGGTGGCAGCTGGATGGAGAGCGGTGTGGTGATGGCCAGAACAGCTTCCTTCTGTTTTGCATTTAGCCGAGGATCCAACTGCTCATCCCATTGTCTGTAAAAAATATAAACATGACAGTGTTGTCAGTCTCCCCGACACTTAATCTACCCAAGCAGCAGAGCATCTATAACAGCCAACACTTATTCTGAAACCTCTCAGATTACTCAAGAAAGTCATTATAAAGAGTTCTGCCACAAATCAAAACTAACCTGAGTTAGCTACTAATCTAGAGAAATCAAACACTTGTAGTCTGTTTGCTGACGATATTACAAAATGCAGAAAACTGTTTCCCACAATGAGGAAGCTATCAATTCCTCCACTGCAAATAGAATGCAAAAAAAAACTACTACTGAAATTTGTACTGCTGATCTATGGAAAGTTCTCCAGACAGGCTTAAAACACAAAGAAAAGGAAAACCTGCATCCCCCTGGTTTAGAGATATCAAAGTTGATTAAGTAGCCAATTGATATTTTCTAAAATGGAATAAAAATTATTTTATTCCCAGCGCTAAGTTAATTCAATGTCTTTTCTTCTTTAGCCCAATCCAATACATTCCTGCAGTTAGTTTACAGGCTACATGCTGAAGAACGACTTCTCAGCTTCATTGTCTATCTACATTCCCTGGGATTCCAAAATAGTTTAAATGGCTACTGGCTTCTCAGGTCCTAGACACAGGACCTTCGACTACTGTCCCACTGCGGTGGGCAAGCCTGGCCCTGCTGCACAACGGCTTCTTGGCACTTCTGTAGCTGATAGTCAGTACTGTTGGACACATGAACAAATCCAGTCATAATTCCAAAAGCTTCACTAGGAGGGTACTTCACATTTCAGACTAATCTTCCTCTTTAAACTTGAACTTAATATTAACTTCAATGTACAAGACTCTCTTGATACTCAAAATAAATAAGACATGGTCTCATACTTTACAAAGCCCAGAGTCCAGGAAAAAAGTTGAAATGTACACAACTGACAAAAATGAATTTAGAGAAATCACACTGGAAAGCAGAGAACTGTCACAGCAGGGACTCAGTAAGTAAGTGCTGAGATCCTGAAACCCAAGTATCCCGCTCATCTGCTTGAAGAGGGGGCACTTAAGCTGCTCATGACTCTAAAGGACCAAATGATCTTCAAAAGGCTGGTCCTGGACAAAGACAGCAGAGGAAACCATGCAAACATGAGGAGAGACATACAACGAGGACACAGCATCAGGGTCGCACATCAATGTATTTAAAGCTAACAGACTAGAATCTTCAGGTGGCTAGTGATGTTGCATGGATTTTATCACGTTTAAAAAATTCTATAGGAATAACAAAACATATGGAGGGGCAAATAAGTATAGGAAGGCATAGATACATGTCAAGGCAACCAAATGCAGCTAGAGCATGGGGACTGAGGAAGGAAGAGGACAGCGCTGGAAGGCACTCAGTGAGAATGGATGACAGGGCTCAGAATCGGCCTCTCAGACTTTATCCAGAGATCTGCACAGGAAGAAATGCCATGGTTATTTTAAAAAACTAACTTTGGAACAAGTATTTGGGTTGGACCAGACAACAGAGAGACAGACAGCAGGATGGAAGATCAACAGAATGCCACAGAAATAGTCCAGGCATAACTTAAGCACCAGTTACAAGAATGGACAGAAAAAGACGGATGCAAAGGAGCTCAACCAAACAAGAGTTGAGATGTCCCTGGGTTCTAAAATCAGGTCACAATCACTTTCAGGACAGTGAGCAGCAAAGCCACAGTAAATGAAGAATGCTGGAGCCACACAGACTAGTGCCTGTTGAGAAATCTGGCAATAAACAGAAGTGGGGTGAAGCAGCAACAGCAAGTTCCTACTAAAAGGTACATCATGTTTTATTCTGTTTTAGGGCCAGAAGCAATGGAATATTGAGTAGACTTGTATGTGCAACTTCTAGGCCTGATCCATAAAAATGTACCACCTGGTCATCTGTGTTCACTCTTTACTTGTCAACATGCAGGTGACCTTGGAAATCAATCACTAAAGATCCAAGACATCCATCAGTAGGAAGCACTCTGCCAGGTGGCCACCCAACCATGTCTTTATTGTATAAAGCCACTTAGATATTTTTTTAAGGTCAAGTAAGCTAGGAAGGCAGAAGTTAATGGGACAGTAACCAGTAGCAAAGATGAACAAATACTCACACAGTTGCATATTCTTAGAACAAACCAGCAGTACTTTACTTAACCACGGGTGGAGGTGACAGTTAAATATTTCGCTATTTGTACAACCCCTAACATGACAGCAGTTTCCGAAGAAGTATCTTCTAACCACTCCCTCCACTTTGCTAACTCACAGTATCATCTCAAAGTTGTTTTATATATTTGAACCACTGCAGAAAGGTCATGATTGTCACATTAGAATTCCATTTGGAAACATCCCTAAACTATTCAGTGTTCTATCAAATTGAGACCACTGAGAGAAGCCACAGAACTAACTTACAGTATGAATGCCAAATGTTTCATTCATCTCAAGAACATAAGCAAACTTTCTAACAAAAGTATGCTTGAGCTCAGTGTACTAGCTTGCACTGCAGTCCCAACACTGAAGAGACTGAGGCAGGAGGACTACCACAAGTTCAAGGTTAGCTTGAGCTACATAACAAGATCCAGTCCAGCCTGGCTACAGTGTGAGATGCTTTCTTAAAAAAAAAAAGGGGGGGGCGGAAAAGAGGAAATCAAGTTTGCTTGAGCTGATACAGGCATTCAATTTAATATTAACATCCTTCTTTTTTCTAAGAAATCTCTTTTCATACCTGTTAGGACTCCAAGGTATGGTAGGAGTCATACTGATGTCTGGAAACAAAACACCATTGTCCTTAATCCTGTCTAGTGCATAATGCATTTCACAGAGGGGTAATCGATTCAACTGAAACTGAAGCTCGACCTGAAACACAAAATGAACATTTTTAAAACAGCTTTTACACCAACGTCGATATTGACAGTATACAAAACACTTCATGGAGTCAACAGTTTGCAGGACAAGTTTAGAGCTTCTTTCAAACTACGATCATATCCCAACAGTAATTAGTATAGGAAACACCGGCTGCGTTTGTTAGGCACTGTAACAAAGCAGCTGCCATGGATGACCTCATGTGATCATACTAACAGTATACATGCTATTACCTCATTTTACATAGTAAGAACTGAAATCTTATAAATGCTAGATAAAGAGTATGAGTCCACCATGCCCATGAAGAATACATCTGATAACATCAGAACAAGTGTGTGGTATCACATGTTGAGTGATAATCAGTCTTACAACCCTGTACAGACTGTCAGTGAATAATGGTCCACTAAGTTTATTCAAAAAGACAGGCTAGCTTTCTACTTAAATATCAAAATTTGAACACAGGCTTCACCTAAACACCATTAATGCAAAAAGAAAGGAAGCAGACACAATGCTGATCCCGTGAGAAGCTCTGCTCTTCCGTTGCTGATGTCAATGTCTAATCAGAAAGCTCAAGCTTGTACAAGACGGGAGCATACTACATGTTCCTTAAATTCAAAAGGTGACTGCCCAGGATAAGACTTCAAAGTCAAGTGCACTTCTGGCCGGTGGAGGGTGAACAAGCAGCGGGCAGCAGCTGACGCTGGGGTGGGAACACTCCAGGAAAGGCGCTGCCTGAAAACATACCTGTGTGTCACAGTCAGGCCGAAGATTAAGCTCTTCACAGCATTCCCTGGATATCCTTAAAAATATATACTCTTTTGTTTTTTCTTCAATAGTAGCTTCATAAACCTTCTCTTTGGTTCCCTGGGTCTGTACTAGCTTCTCTTTAGGGACTGGTAATAAATAAACAGCATTGACTTTGGTCATCACCAGTCTTCCAGCCAAAGTATCTTCAGAAAGGGTTTCAGTAAGCTTAAAACGACCAAAAAGTTGTCCATTCTGAGCATACTTTGCACCCCCAGAAACTCCAGTGAGCATGAAGCTTGCTAAAATCTGCAATTGCACTTTAAGGTTGAACCTAAATCGAAAGCAGAAAACTAGTTTGAGTATTTCTCGTCAAAACCATAAGAACTAGAAAAATACAACAAAGGAATTCAAATATAAATATATGGAAATGTAAACTTTGTACCGATTCCCCTGTACTGAATTACCAACTCTATATACTACAGTATCTTTCTCCCCTAAATCCAAGCTGAAGACAAGTCACATTAAGCATCCTTAGTTGTGTTGAAGAATACGGATTTCTAAATGACTGAGTGTGGCCCTGAGTGGGCTCAGTGGGTAAAGGCACCTGCTGCCAAGCCTGGTGACCCGAGTTTCATTCCAGAGCTCACATGGTCGAAGTAGTGAGCTGACTCCTGAAAGTTGTTCTCTGACCCTATATGTGAGCCCTGCCTCTCAGACACAGACACACACACACACACAGACACACACACACACACAGACACACACACACACACACACACACACACACATACACAAGCACAAAAAAATAATTCTTGTAAGTCTGAGTAAACTACAGGTGATTTTTAATAAAGTGGAATACATTAACTAATAGGAAAACCTGTTCAAACAGGGTTGAGATAATTAAGACTTTAAAATTACCTAAGCTAAGAGGAAAGGAACTGCATTAAAACTACAATGGACTTTCAGCTGAGGGCTTGCCAGGTAAATCTTACCAAAAGAATCTAACCATAACATTTCTCTCTCGGTAATGCTAGCCAATAACAACCAGAATAAAAGTTTATCCATTATTACAAGGAATTGAGTCCATGCAGGAGATTCACTATGAAAAAAAAAGAGGTCGGGCCAGGTGGTGGTGGCACACACCTTTAATCCCAGCACTCAGGAGGCAGAGCCAGGAGGATTTCTTTGAGTTCAAGGCCAGCCTCGTCTACAGAGCGAGATCCAGGCACCAAAACTACACAGAGAAACCCTGGCGGGGAGGGTCGACCTATTTTAGCAGACAACAATCAGGACACCTGTGTGCATGTGAATATGAGAGAATGTGTGCTTGAAGACATCACAGAGAATCAAGATTAACTTACACAGTTAAAGAAACAGCAGGGTGTGGTAGTGCACACCGTTAATCCCAGCACTTTCGAGGCAGAGGCAGGTGGATCTCTGAGTTCGAGGCCAGCCTGGTCTACAGAGTCCAGGGCAGCCAGAGCTACACAGAGAAACCTTGTCTTGAAAAATTAAAAAAAAAAATAAAAAGAAAGAAAGAAAGAAAAAGAAATATTCACATAGAATACACAAGAGGTATAAAACCAAAAAGTCTATACATACTAAAATTAGTATTTAATAACACAACTTTATATGCAGACCAAATAAAATCCAGTAGGATCTGTCTTGTATGAGACTTTCCAAAAATACGGCTACATTTCTCTCATTCTGTATGTAATGTTACTGAGTAATTTAAAAAAATGCAGATTTCATCTTCTCCAACTATATCTGACTCTTCAAAGACCAGATTTATGCTCAGAACTCAAATTAAAAAGCCTGAACATGAAAGTGAAGTGAAGCTGCCCAGCTGATAGCCACTGTCCACCTCACCATTTGAAGAGAACCCAAGCCCTGGTGTCATGAGGGAGTCTCTAAAGAAAGCGTCAAAACTAACTGCCTTCCACACATCAAAACTGCCTTCCATGTGATGAGAAGGACCGGGTCATTGAAGCTCACTTAAGTTGGAAGAGACTGCCCCTAACACATCGCAGCCTGACAGACCTCTCTCTGTTGCCAAAGGCCAAGCTGCAAATCGTCTCCCTTCTACTTTACAGTCACTCTCCTCTTTAAACTCCATCTTCCTTGGGTTTCTGTAGAGCCACGCCCTCCAGGGACTCCCTGCTACCTCCCTCCCTTTCTATCCAAAATCAGTCACCTTTTCAACCAGTGTGCCCTCATCCTACTCTCTAATAGATACCTTTGTTCCTGCATTCTCCATGCCCAGATGTGTAACACCAAATAACCTTTGACCTCTCCAACATGACTCCAAATCAATGCTTCCAGGCATTATGCAAAAAGGCTCCACCATTCAGTTAGGTCTCCAAGCCAGAAGTTGAGTTACATTGACTGTTCCTGTCGCACAAACCGCCATTCCCCTCACTATACTATCACAAAGCCCTGTTTTCTGGGGGCACTATGGGTTCCTACTACTGGTTAAGACATTTGCAACTCAACATTTTTAACCTGATTACTATATAAACTTGAACATGGCTTTCTGTCTCTAATCTATTCTCCCTATCATTATATACAAAACTCTCATTTCAACAACTTTATTCCCTAATAAATTCTTAAAATTCTGTAATACATTTCTTAACCATCTTAGGCAATATATTCAAATTTTACTGCTATATTTAAATTTGAACCCACCATCCCAAAACTTGACCATAATTGAACAGTCCTGAACATGAAGGCCATAGCCTCACAGCAGCAGGAGAATCTGCTGTGTCACTAACCAATGCCTTAATGTCCTAGACAACAAACACCTCAAAAAGCAGAGTTTCTTGCAGAAGACTGGCCATATGCTAAAGATGCAGATTTAGCCTTTCTACTAGAAACCACTATTTCTAACATCTCCTCTTCTTAAAAGGCTGGTACACTAAACTAAAATCCCAGTCATAGCCTCTCTCAAATATTAGAAGACTAATATCTGACAGCTTGAAGCTGGAGAGCTGGCTCAGTGATTCAGAGCGCTGGCTGCTCTTCCAGAGGACCCGCACCCACATCAGGCAGCTCACAACCTCCTGTATGTAACTCCAGTTCTGGGGACCTAACACTCTCTTCTGGCCTCCTTGGGGTGCCTGCACCCACATGCAAATAAATACCTGTACACAGACACACACAGAAACACATAATTTAAAACAAAATAAATCCTAAAAGAAAACTTTGAAATTTAATAATTCAAATACTTAAAATACAAAATACATTTGAAATGAACAAAGACAATTTCTGCCACTGTTTCACACCACATTTTGAATCAATCTTGAAGCCAATATAACGTCAGCCTTCCAGGAGGCAAAACAGCCAACAAAATTTCTACTGTTGTAAAACCACTTTGTCTAGCTGATAAGAAATGTGGTTGTAACCAATGCCAGCATTCGTTAGGTCAAACCTCTGAAGTGATATTTTCATTTTCAAATACCAAAGCTATAGAGCAAATTTGATTTCATGAGATTTTCCCCACTAAATGAACAAGGATGAGCCTAGTAAAATTAACTATTGGGAGTTTTTAGACAACAGTTTAGATTCCACTGCGTTTGGTTTGCTGATGCCGAGTGGAGAAGTGAGGTAACCCACGGTAGCTCAGGGCTGAGATGTGACACACATCCTACTCCCACACTAGGCCTGCCGGGCAGCTGGGCACTAGAGAGTCGGGCATGCAGACCAGTTAGCCTTGCCACTGCACAGTTCAATGGAGACCATAGCTTCAGTTCCTGTCTAGTCTTCGGATTTTAAGATTTATTTTTATTATTTTTAATTGTGTGTATGTAGAAGGCATAAATGCATGTATGACAGGTGCTCTCAGAGGCCAAAGTGTAGGATCCACTGAAACTGGGGTTACAAGCAGTTGTGAACCACCTGATGTGGGTTCTGGGAATAGAACTTAGGTGCTCTGTTGTAGAATATTATTTTAAGGTGTGTTACTTTGATTTATGTTGCATTTAACTCTGTGAAGCTGTGTTACTGTGCCTGTCTAAAACACCTGATGGTCTTAATAAAGAACTGAATGGCCAGGGGTGGGGGTGGGCATTGGAGGGTAGAGGATGGGGAATGAGAACATAAGGAAATGGGATGGTCGAGATGCAACAGGGATGGAGTGGGAAAGCAATGAGAGAGATACCATGATGGACGGAGATATCATGCAGACAGAGAGAAACCTAGTTCTAGGGAAGTTGCCAGGAATCTCCAAGGATGACCCCATCTTGGACTACTAGAAATGGTGGAGAGGGTGCCTGAACTGAGCTGGCTTGTCCCAGTGATCAGTTCGGTAAATACCCTAACTGTCATCACAGAGCTTTTCTCCAATGACTGATGGAGGCAGATGCAGAAGAGATCTACAGCCAAACACCAGGCAGAGCTCCAGGAGTCTAATCAAAGAGAGAGAAGAGGGATTCTATGAACAAGTGCATCAGGATCATGATGGGGAAACCTGCAGAGACAACCAAACCAAACTAGTGGGAACTCATGAAAGTTGGATCAATGGCTGCAGAGCCTGCATGGGACTGGACTAGGCCCTCTGCATGAGACAATTGTGTAGCTTGATCTGCTTGGGGGGCCCCCTGTCGGTAGAATCAGAATCCATCCCTGGTGCATGAGGGGACTTTTTGGAGCCAACTACCTATGGTGGGACACCTCTTGCAGCCTTGAGGCAGGGGGAAGGGCTTGGACTTGCCTCTACTGGATGTGCCTCCCCATAGGAGGCCTTGCATTCTTGTGGGAAGGAATGGGGGGTGGATTGGAGGGGGGGGAATCTTTGATTAGTGTGTAAAATGAATGAAAAATTCTTAATAAAAAAACAAAAACAAACAACCAACAACAACAACAACAAAAGAACTGAATGGCCAATAGCAAGGTAGGAGAGAGGACAGACGGGGCTGGAAGGTAGAAAGAACAAATGGAAGGAGAAATCTGGGAGAAGAAAAGAAGAATTGAGAGAAGGAGGAGGACTTCAGGAACTAGCCACCCAGCTACACAGCCAGACATGGAGTAAGAGTAAGATTTACAGAAGAGAGCAGGAAAAGCTCAGAGGCAAAAGGTAGATGGGATAATTAAGAAAAGCTGACAAGAAACAAGCCAAGCTAAGGCCAGGCATTTGTAATTAGGAATAAGCCTCCGTGAGTGATTTATTTGGGAGCTGGGTGGTAGGACCCACAAAACAGCAAAAACAAACAACAACAGTCCTCTACAAGAACAGTACATGAACTCACTCTCTGAGCCATCTCTCTAGCTCTAAAGTCTTACTTCTTTAAAAGTGTATCTCTCAGAATTGAATATATTTCTTCCAAGGTAGGATCAATGAATGCATATCAACATGTGGCCTAAGTTTGTTCCTGAAGAACCTGAAGGCTTCCGTGAAGTTCCATGAGATAAAGTAAATAGTCTCACTCTGTAACTGAGGCTAGCTCAGACACTGCTAGGTGGCCCAAGCTGGCTTTGAACTCGTGATTCTCTTGCCTTTGTTTCCTGAGTGTAGGGCTACAGATGATAACACTAGGTCCAACTCTCTGGTAAGTTGCTGTGCTTTTGTTTCTGTTTTGACACAGGATCTTACTATAACAGCCCTGCCTGGCCTGGAATTCATTGAGCTCCACCTGCTTTTACCTCTCAACTGCCCAAGTGCTAGGATTAAAAGCATGGGCCCCCATGGTGGGCACCTGGGAAGTTTTATTCATCCCAATATTCATATAGTGTTCTTTCCTAAGAAAATGGAATATGATAATAGGAACAAACACACATGCACATTATTCATGTATTAATGTGGTGATGTATTGTGTCCTCCAAAATATTGTGCACCCTAATAAAGTTTATCTGAGGATCAGAGGAAAAAGCCAGCCACTATATTAAACATAGAAGTCAGGCAATGGTAGCACACACTTTTAATCTTATCACTTGGGAGGCAGGGATCTATCTGGATCTCTGGGAGTTCAAGGCCACACTGGGAACAGAGCCAGGTGTGGTGGCACAAGCCTTGAATTCCAATCTTAGTTAACCATAAAGGTCTGGAAGTCTGTACAGACAGACAGGAAGTGACAGAGCTGGGCAGAAAGAGAAAGTGATGTAGCTGGGCAGAGAGAGTAAGTGAAAGGCAGAACAGAAAAGCATGTAAGTGTGGGTATACAGGAAGTGGGTCTCTTTGGCAGAGGATCTCCAAATAGTAAGAATGTGGCTGGCTTCTTCGTGCTTTTCTGATCTCACAGCTTTTCACCCCAATACTTGGCTCCAGGTTTTTTATTAATAAGACCGTTTAGCACTTCATCCTACATAGTAATAAATACGATTTCATCACAAGAGACTACAGTCATAATCAATACAAGCCTTTCAAGATTTGCACAATGGGAGGCCAAGGAGACAGCTCAACAGGTAAAAGTGCTAGGATGCCCTGAGTTCAATCCCCAGAACCTACACAAAGACTGCAGCTGTGGATGAAGTAGGCCACACTTGTGATCTCAGCAGGGCAAGAGACAGGAGAACTGGCCAGAAGCTCGAGGATACAGTGTGGCAGCAAAACAAGAGAGACCCTGTCTCAAAATCAAGGTGAAAGGAGAGATCAAATCCTGAAGATTGTTCTCTAACATCACATGTCCACCTGGGCACTCGACAATTAACAATCAATGGCCCAGCACATATCTGTAATATAAACAACTCAAGAGAAAAAGGGAAAGGGTGACAAGTTCAAGACCAGCCTATGCTACACAGTAAAACTCTGCCCCTACAAAGAGAGAAAGGAGCACAACCAATAAGGGCCATGACATAGTCCCAGAATAATGAAAATCAAGTCTATTGACCTGGAACATTTCATATGAGATACTTTCAAAGGTTCTATCACATTTAACCAACAAGCAGAGTGAACAGTGTACTTTCTCATTTTCATCTGCTCTTTGTTTTTTGGATATGCCCCTAATGAGTCTTCTGAATCTATTATTAATCATAAGGCAGTCTGCAGAAAAAAATATATTAGTTAGACTATATTTAAACAGAGAAATAGTTATAAAAATGCAATCATGTTTCATTGAGGTTCAATTTTGAGGGTTCATCCTATTTCACCTAAATGTAAAAAACTACTTTCAAAATAACAACCTTTTTAATAGTTTCACTCACTCACACTTTCATTTAAGACTACTTCTCGTACATTAATCAAATAATCTTTTGCTTTCAGCTCTTGCTTCGTGATTGTAACTAAAATATAAAAGATGACAGAGCACTTATAAATTGCTATAAAGCCGATTCATCATCAAACTATTTTCCTCTATATAAATCATTTCATTCTTCAAAGAACTTTCAAAATATATGGCTTACTTCCGTTTTTGTACATTTATTCCGCAAATATTCTTTAAGTGCTTGCTATAGCCTGCACTCACTAGAAACCGTCTCAGAGCAGGGACTAGTTCTATACTCCAAAAGTGAGCACAGCTGGTCCCAGACTAGATATTCAGTACAGTCCTGTGAAATAGAGCCATGTACTAAACAGAACTCTTTGGGTTTTGATTGTTTGTTTTGAGACAGGGTTTCTCTGTGTAGCCCTGGCTGTCCTGGATCTCGCTCTGTAGACCAGGCTGGCCTCAAACTCACAAAGACCCACCTGCCTCTGCCTCCCCAGTGCTGGGATTAATGGTGTATGCCACCACCTCCAGCTTCCTAAACACAATTCTTACTAGCATTTTCATGAAAGATAGAATACAGAGTGCCAAGGGTGCTGGCTCATACCTGTAATCCTGACATTCAAGAGGCAGAAGCAGAAGGACTACCGAGAGTTCAAGTCCATCATGGCCTACATATCAAGTTCTAGGCCAGCCGGGACTTACTTCATAACAAGACCCTGTTTCTAAATTAGTGAATTAGTTTAAAAATACAACTAGTGAAGAACAATTATTTTAATACCCATCTTCACTTAAGCATGTCTCCACTGTAAAATTAACATCACTCTAAAGGCAGACGAAGGAGAGGAGGATGGGAGAGAAAAGTGGGGTGGAGGGGAGAAAGGAGTAGAGGGAGTGAGGAGGGGAGAGGAGGGGAGAGAGAAAAGGAGAGGGGAGGGGAGGAAGGTGGTTCTCAAAGAACTTACTTGCTGACTTCTTTATACTGGGCTATCTCCTCAATATAAAGCAGGTCATGCAACCGTGACTGATAGTTAGCCTTGGTCAATGATTTGTCTAAAACGGACTGTGTAAACAGCTGGTCAGCAGAAAGAGGAATTTGGTATCTGATCAGAAGGCTCTTCTCCAAGTCAGTAGTTTCATTAGGTTCAAAATCTACAATAGTCTTAGAAGAAGAATCCCAGCGCTTGGCTGTGGTTACCAGCTGCTGTTTTGCATGCATCAGATATTCAAGATCTAAAGGAAAACAAGAAACACATTTATAAAGGAACACGATGTTAAATTTTCAAGTGAATAAGTACTCATTTCTGTAGCAGAGTTTCATATACAAGAGCTAAAATTCTTAAAAATAAAACAACACAAAACTCATTGAAAGAGTTCTTTCCCATGCCTGACATATCTTCGATCATTTTAACAAAATAACATTGCTAGGAATCCATGTGAGAACATCTTTTTATACAGTAGGCTAGTCATGCCACAAAGAGTTCTTTTTGAGTTACCATTCCGAACTTAACTCTTCAGTCAAGAGACACCTGAACTGCAGGAGAAACCTGATCAATCCTTGTATGACAAAATGGACCGAGTGATGGTTATAACAGTCACTTTCCTCCTCAGCCTGCCAGTACCTGCCCCATAAGAGAAAGAGAAGAACCAAGGCTTGAAAGTGTCAATCTTTGCTTGTGTGGCAAGCACAGAGCTTTCTGAACATCACCTTGCTACCAGCACCAATCTGTTAGAAGACATGGATGTACAACACTGCCAGCTCCTTGGAACATGTGATAGGAAGTCATCTGAATGCCACTTCCCAAAAGGCCATAAAACTCAGCAAAATTTTACTGTAAGCAGGGCACAAAGTCAAAACCAGGAACTGTCAGGTTCTGGCATCTTTGAAAGAGATGCAACACAGACCAGCAAAGATGAGAGCCACAGGAGCTCACGGTGCACCATCTGAGACTTACTGGGTAGAGTGTGCCCACCCAGAAAAGCAAAATTAGCCAAAAGGTAGAAAAGTGTCTAACTGACTCGTTAGACAAAGGTTCAGTTTTAATAGAAGAGGAAAGACTTCCCTACTTCAGACAGAACTCAGGGGAAGCCTCCTCAAGCTATCCCTCAATTAGAACAGGCATGACTACAATCTTCCGTTCAGTTAGTAGTCTGGCAAGTTTATTTATTGATTATTTTGTGGTGCTATAGATCAAACCCAAAACCCAACATAATCTACCATTGAACTGACATAACACCCCAAGCTCTGGTGTTACAACCTCTAAATGTCACATATGCATTATAAGCACTCATGCAGTCATTCACAAAGAAACGTCATAACATAGCAAGTATCTTAATAGCTTTTTGTTTGTTTTTTTTTTCTTTTGGGGGGGGTTGTATCCTAATATCTTAATTAAAATATTTAAGGACCCTAATTTCTAACTTTTGATCCTTGTGAAAGCTTTTTTAAGAGTGTTGCTATTTCTTAGACAGCAACATAAGTACAATTATCACAGCAGTAAAAATGAACTGCCCATTAAAATTATACTTCAAACTACTCTAGGGGCTGGAGAGATGGCTCAGCAATTAAGAACACTTACTGTTCTTTTCAGAGGACAAGAGTCTGACTTTCAGCACCCATGACAGATGGCTCACTACCAGCTCCATGAGAACTGACACCCTCTTCTGACACCCATAGGTACAAACACACATGACATACACTAATAGACATACACACACACACACACACACACACACACACATACACTATAAATAAATAATTTTAAGTAAAAAATACACTACACTGAATCAGGCATGCTAACATGCATCCTTAATCTCAGCACTGGGGAGACAGAAAGGCAGGCAAATCTCTGTGAGTTTGAGGCTAGCCTGATCTACAGACTGAGTTCCAGGACAGCCGAGAACACAGAGAAAGCCCGCCTCGAAAAACCAAAAATAAAAAATAAAATAAAAAAAAGAAAGAAAAAAAACTTAGTGTGTAGAAGGATGTCTAACTTCTATTTTAAGGTGGGAAATTTACATTTCATAATTACATTATAGATTTTATTTAAGTGACTTTAGACTATACTTCAAGCAACACATTCTCATGTCATTTAAAAATCACTGACTACTCCTATATCCATTAAGGTGCTTGGAGGAAGAAAAAAAAAAAAAAAAACCAGACCAAAACAGTATCCTGAGAATGCTATGGATGACATGTTAAAACCTGCACAAATTATACAGAAATTATACTTCTTTACTTTTGACTAGAGGTATTTAAACTTTGGGGATTTGGCATAAGCAACAGTATTTTTTGACATTTTATGTAGATAGCGTCATAATCTACACTTTGGTTTTTAGGAAATTCTCGTGTCTTGAGTAAGCAGCCCCACAAAATTTTCAAACAATGTTAATTTTTATCCCATTTCATTTTTTGGAGGTGTGGGGCAGGATCTCACTACATAACCCGGGCTAACCTAGAACTCATGATTGGTTCCCAAGCACTGGGATTAAGTGATGAGCCACCATACCGAGCATTTGTTAATGACTATGTGGGAGAGGAGAAAGTGTAGCAGTAGAGAGAAGACACTTGAAAACATCCAGGTGTGCCAGGCTTGGAAGGTCATGCATGTGAATGGTTGGTGGCTCCTAAGGAGCTTTACAGAACTCATTCTCCTAGGAACCCGAGTCAGACTTCTGCCTCTGTTCTTCATTCTTCTTCCTTGTGTTTTTGTTTGTTTGTTTCCCTCTTGGTTTTGAAGGGGGTTTTTTTTTGGGGGGGGGGATTTTTGTTATTTTAGAGAGTGTTCTGATGGGCATCAAAGAAACTCCATATGGCGTTTTACTTTCTTTGTGGCAAGTTAGCCACTGGGCAAGAAACTGCCCTTGCCTCCGAGTTGGACAAGCAGGACACAAAAGAAAGTGACTGCAGAACTTTGTCAAGACAAGGTGGGACAGTCCTTCAAAAATCCTGCTTCACAGAAAAATCTGTCAGACACGCTAGGCCTATTGAACGCCCCAACATTGCAGAGGAACTTTGGGTGACTGTCCAGGTAGCCTGATGTCCCTGTCATTAGGTAACATTTTAACCTTCTGGGGTCTTTGATGGAGTTGAAGACTAAATAGTTATAATTATAGTTTTCCTTAGTTATAATAAATAAATTAGATATAAAACTTTAGACTCACCAAGATTAGATAGATATTTTCGCTAATTTTGCCAAATACAAATGGATTAGTGTTACTGTAATTCTTACGTATAACTGTTTTTGTTGTAGATAATCTTACTATGTTAAAGTTAAAATCTTACTTTTTTTTTTTTTTTTTTTTTTTGGTTTTTCGAGACAGGGTTTCTCTGTGTAGCTTTGCGCCTTTCCTGGATCTCACTCTGTAGAACAGGCTGGCCTCGAACTCACAGAGATCCGCCTGGCTCTGCCTCCCGAGTGCTGGGATTAAAGGCGTGCGCCACCACCGCCCGGCTTAAAATCTTACTTTTTAATTAGACAAAAAGAGGGAAATGCTGTGGAATAATTCTCTTGTATACTGTAAAGATTTGTCACTTGAACTGGTTTAATAAAACACTGACTGACCAGTAGCCAGGCAGGAAGTGTAGGTGGGGCAACCAAACTAAGAATGCTGGGAAGAGGAAGGGTGGAGTCAGGAGTTGCCAGCCAGATGCAGAGGAAGCAAGATGAGAATGCTGTACTGAGAAAAGGTACCAAGCCACATGGCTAAATATAGATAAAAATTATGGGTTAATTTAAGTGTAAGAGCTAGTTAGTAATAAGCCTGAGCTACTGGTCAAGCATTTAAAATTAATATAAGCCTCTGTGTTGTGATTTGGGAAGTGGCTGCCGGGTATTTGCGAGTTGCTGGTGGGACAGAAACTTCTGCCTACAGTGTTCCTCTATAATAGCTCTATGGCTAGAACTTGCAGTCATCCCCCTGCTTCAGCTTCTCAACTGCTAGAATTACAGGTGTGAGCACCACACCTTGCTCACTCCTCTTACCTGACAAAGAAACAGTTAAACTGTGTAATGACATACTAATTTACAGCGCTTAAAGGTGATTACTTCTTGAGTCTCTCTTATGGAGAAGAAGGTAAGGTTCCCCCATGAGACACTGGACAACACCTGCTCCTACAGGTGTGCTCATTGTCATCCCCAGCTGTAGTTCCTGCACCTGCGATCATCAAAATCAGACTTAAGTAATGCTCAGGATGCTGAGCAGCTCTTCATCCATGCTATGTATGTTCCCTTAACCTATACCAGGCCTAAAATGAATCACACTCTGGAAAGACAAAAAAATGAACAGGCTTGGACAATATTCACAAATCCACTTAGGAGAGTTTAATCATGCTTATTAACACTGCTCATTAACCAACTCTTGTCATACTAATCTCCAAGCAAACCTGACAGGAATTACAAACCTCAGGAATGTGCTACCCTGAGGTATGGCTAGTAGGCAGAAGCTGTAAATACATAAAAGAGAAATCCACAGAAAGAAAATTAAAAAAAAAAAAAATGAACTATACCTAGGGGGCACTTGCCTAGCATGGGTAAGGGCCTGCAATGGATCCTCAGCATCACCAAAAACTTAACCAACAGGATATACTTCACAACAAGGGCTGCCACTCTCAAAAATAGCCAGCTCTAGGCTAGAGAGATGGCTCAGAAGTTAAGAGCACTTGATGCTCTTCCAGAGGACCAGAGTTCAGTTCCCAGCACTCGCATTAGGCAGCTCCCAGCTGTCTATAACTCCAGCTCCAGGGAGCAAACAACTCTGTCCTCTGAGGACACCTCAACTTATTTGTGCATACCCACATGCAGACATGCATACCTACATATAATCGTAAGAATAAAAATAAATTTTTACAAAAATAGCCAACTCAACTAGAATAGCTAGTCTGACACAAGAAATACTTCCCAATATCCTTAGGCTCTCTGACATTAAGACTAGCAGCCTGCTTGCATTCCAGCCACATAGTTATTATCCATTATAATATAGTATCCAAAGGAAAGCTTTGCTTTGAAATATGAAATGCAACCAATTTAAACAGTATCTTAAATGGGGCCTGGAGACTGCACAAGAAGATGACGAGAGGAAAACAAAGCAGAGATGGCTCAAAGGGATTCAATAAATGTAGTTTACTAAAAGCAGCTCCAGGGCTGGAGAAACAGCTCAGGGGTTAAGAGCACTGACTGCTCTTCCAGAGGTCCTGAGTTCAATTCCCAGCAACCACATGGCAGCTCACAACC